GGGTGGGATTGAGCAGAGAGCGGTCTGGACATTGTTCGGGATCCACTCAACGAAGTAGCTTGAGCTCTTGGTCTGGATGTTGCGCATCTGGTCCTCAACCTCCTTCATTGAAACCTTTCCGCGGCTGTTTGACTGTTAGTGAACGTTTCCCGTTACTGGAAAGAAGGAAACCTACAAGAAAGTGGCGCAAGTAAGGAAACGACCGTTACGGAAATCGGGAGCAGCCATCATGTTCCTGGGGTCGAACATTTGCTGAGCAAGCTCAGGGACAGTGGTGGCACGGAAGGAATGAGCACCACGCGAAGTAAGAGGTGCGAAACCAACCATGAAGAAATGGAGACGCGGGAAAGGAACCATGTTGACGGCCAATTTACGGAGGTCAGAGTTGAGCTGACCGGGGAAACGGAGACAGGTGGTGACACCGGACATGACAGCAGACACAAGATGGTTGAGATCACCATATGAAGGAGCGGCAAGCTTGAGAGTGCGCATGCAGATATCGTAGAGTGCTTCGTTGTCGATGCAGAAGGTTTCATCAGAGTTTTCAACCAACTGATGGACAGACAAAGTAGCGTTGTACGGCTCAACGACGGTGTCAGAGACCTTGGGAGAAGGAACGACAGAGAAGGTAGCCATCATCCTATCAGGGAACTCCTCGCGGATCTTGCTGATAAGCAAGGTACCCATACCGGCACCAGTTCCACCACCGAGAGAGTGGGTGATCTGAAATCCCTGAAGGCAATCACATCCCTCGGCCTCACGACGGACAACATCCAAAACCTGGTCGACAAGCTCGGCACCCTCGGTGTAATGTCCCTTGGCCCAGTTGTTACCGGCACCGGATTGACCATACACAAAGTTGTCGGGACGGAACAATTGACCAAAAGGACCGGCACGGACAGCATCCATGGTACCGGGCTCAAGATCGACAAGGACAGCACGGGGAACATATTTGTTTCCGGAAGCCTGATTTGCATGAGCTAAACTCTAAATGAATAGAAAGTAAGGGGTGCTTTTTCTTACCTCGTTGAAGTAGACGCTCATACGCTCAAGCTGGAGATCGCTTGTTCCATTGTATCTAGGGGAAAATTAGTATCACTTGATAACACCCTAAAGGTAGACTTGACAACTTACACTCCTGACTCGTCAAGACCGTGCTCACCACCGATGGTTTGCCTATATTAATACGAAAAGTCAGTTATCTACAACCCATCGTTTTTCTAGAGGACGCAAAGAAAGATGATGCGCACCAGAAGGCACTACCGATTTGGTTACCCTATAGATAAAATGTTAGGAAAACGAAAGGGACAGTCTTAAAAAAATCACTGAACAAGATCAGGGTCTTACACATTGACCAGTTTGGAGATGAACCTGTATTCAGTTTTATATTAGCAACAAAGCTACAGGATTAAGCACGCGATATCAAACAGGGAGAGAGGGGACCATACGATTTCACGCATTTTGATAAGGGTTGATTATTATGGAGATAGAAATTGAATACAAGGAGTCCTGGAGCTTCGTGAGATCGTGGGAGGATGGAGAAGGAAGATTGGAGGATGTAGAGGATGAAGAGGAGAGAAGGGCGGTGTTGGTGATGGATGAAGGAAGGAGGTGTGGTGGCGGACGGGGGGGGCGTTAGACTGGTGACGGGAAGGGACGTGGAAAAAAAATCAATGCGGCTGCTCGTGCAGTGCTGCGGATAGGAGAAAACCAGCACTTCCCATACTGACAGACCACCACTCACACACACGCCGCCTAATCTCCGTTGCCAGCAACCCAATCCCTCGCCCACTCTCAGGAGAGTGAGGAGAAATCCCTCAGAGCTGCTCTCAGGTAGCAGGTGGACTTACTGTTCAGAACCAGTACTTATCAAGGTATCGTTTGCGGTATCTCCTATTCACTCTATCGCACCCATAATCAATTGAGCTTAGCCCAAATACGAAGACTGAGACCTGGCTCTGCCGTATCGATAAAGGGGCGCCCCTAACCCTGTCTTTCCAAAAGTTTGGCCAGGAACAAAAACATCATTGTTGTATCGGTACCATTTCCCGGACCACTCAATCTCGCATTTTGTATCAGGCGAAATCCTTTGACTTCATGGAGCCGGTCAATCTTCTACCTAGATGCAACTTTCTGCATCAAGCGAGATGTTTGACACCTGTGTGGTCCCTGCGTAGCCCAAATCTTGACTGGTCACCTGTTCGCTCCCCACACCCCACCGCTCGAATGTGGTCAAGCCTGCGCTGGTCCGCATTCCACGCCTAACTCGAGCTGGAGGAACGGCGATTTAACCCCTGTCAAAAAGCCCTGAACCGTAGGCAATCCCGCCTGTAGGTACACCTGCAGCCGCTCGTTAAGTTGTCCAGAGATCTCTGAATATTCACTTTGCTGAGAAAGATTATTACGATCTGGGGCCGTCAATTGATTAGGGTGATGCAGGTACCGATGTGAATGCATATATATTATTGTGAGGGTAGGCCATAATCCATCTACGTTTTGATACTAAGGAGTTGAACTCCAAGCTACAACCGTGGAGGCGAATTATTGAAACGAGAGCTCAAGGCAGCTCTCGGTTTTCTGGATCTTGGGGTATATCAGCATTTAGTCCCGGATAATAGATAATAGAGATCATGGAGCGTGAGCTGATTTCTTGACTACCGGTGTCAAATGTTTCGAACAGCTGGTTGGTTGCTACCAATTTCAAGTCAAACAGGCCAGACCTACATCTTAGCTGCGGGCTATTGCATGCGATTTAGTTGACCAGCTGGGTGATAATAACGTGGAAATGATCAACTACCACCCCGGCTATTGAATAGTACAACATCCACCAAGGATCGATTCTTGTCTCTATTCCGGGGTTTATAACTTTTGATGTTTTTGCAAAGTCTTGAAATTCGGGATGCACATGGCTGAACTTGGAAAACAATTGATTCATCACAAAAACTATTCAGGTAAATGAAACACTTCGGAATAGATTTTTGCGAATATAGCTGGTCTTTGGGGCGTAAGATCGTACATCATCGCCCCCAAAAAAGACTTAGCTATTCATCGGTATTCCTTTCCTGTCTTTTGTCATGTTCACTTTCTTGAAGCGGTAAACATCCTATAGTTGGTTGAGCTAGGATAGGCATCGTAATGCCAGCCCAATAAACCAAACAAATCCATGGGTAATCAATACATAATATTTGAAAATCCGCCTGACCGAACTCTGATTCACTTTATATCAAAGTAGTCTCACCGCCGCGTGCTACGTGAGATGGTGGATCTGGGCACCTAGACGTTCCGAGTCCCGAAGCGCGATTGACCACCAATGGATCCAGTACTCGCTTTTTCTACAAGCCCACATGGGTATCCTAAAACCCACGGTTCAGCTGCCGAATGCACGACTTGTTCATCCGAAGCTTGGGATCTTGTACCAGGATCTATGTCCGGAGAGGCTCCCCTCAGCTCCAGTTGGCTCAAAGTCCATGAAAACTGGATGCTTGACCATATCGAGAACTTGTGTCTTTAATAATGAAACCAATAATAGACGCTGACGATAAGCGAACAACTGCCGCGCTACCTATCTATTGACCGAAGCGTCTGATGTCGGTGTCCAGGCGTGCCTACTGGTCATCACATTATCTAGCGGGTTGACGGGAAGACACACCAGAGGATATGCACCCAAAACTCTATTCTACATACCACATAACAGTGAGCTAAAGATATCTTCTTCTTCTTATACTACTACCACTACTGCTGCTGTTATTTATCTACAGTCTCCGCTAATATCAAGATGGTACGATCTACGACCGCTTCAACTGCGATTAATAGAGAGGCACCAATTCATGGGATAGGATGGATACAGTTAAAGCTTATGAACGATAAGAACTTTAACTCGTATTATTTGAACTATAACTACATGTATTGCCACACTAGCCGCATGTACTATTGAGTTTTTTGTGATGTCGACTAGACTGCGCAGCTAGATACCACGAAGTCTAGAATCTGGAGTCCATCTCGATCGCTGGAATTAAGAGCGGAGGCATTTCTTGGAATGGTTAAAGAACCTAGAATGCTCACTTGACAAAATATTCGCCAGAATATTCAACCCGATATGTTTCACAGACTGCGTGAATAGCCTGCTACCACCGCCGCAATCATGTGTGACATGTTTGTGACTTCGCTGGGAATCTCACCTTTGCCCCAGGAATCACACACTCTGGTCTAGCTGCCTTGTCTCTCCACACAGGATGACGTTCACTCAATATTAGGGCTTCCATAATAAAACATCACGCATTTTCTGCGAGAAAAAGAAACCAATCAGACTAATCATCGTACAATTAACCGAGAGGTCAGAGATGCGGGTGACCATGAATTTGCCTGATTTACCAATGACTGTATGTTTGTTCCAGATGTTTGGTAAGAATCATAATATCTAACCCATTGAAGAACAGCACAATCAGGGTAAAAGATTCCGGAGGGTAAACCTCAATCTGGCCCTGATCCTCCTACAATTCTCACCGCTGACTTCGATGAATACTCATGTGTCTACTAACGGGTCATTAAGGTTGATCGTTATGAAAAGAGTAGTTCTGCGGTGACGAAATAATTAAAGCCCGGTACGGTGGGTTGTACTGGAGTTCAGGTGCCGTAGTTCAGCTTTCTCATGCATTCTTATCCAGGTAAATCTTGTGAGTTACGATTACCTGACTGAAAATAGGTCACACTGTGTCCGACCACGGGCAATGATTACCATCTTAATATTCTCAACTGCGGTGCGGTAGTGTCATGCTGTATGTAAACTCTTTTGGTGGGCTCTGGGAAATATATATATAATGCGGCCTCTCCGCTATAATCGGTATATATCAAACGTCAACATCAATATCAGCAATATCAAGACGCATAGAATCAGTTTTGCCCCACCAAGCCCAGAAAATCAACCAGAAGATTTTAGTATTTAAGCACCTTTTTTTCACTATCAATTCCTCTTAACTTCACATACACAAAAAAAAAAAAAGATGTATACTCCATTCTTCCGAAAGAGGGACTTGATAGATCAAGGATATAATCCCCAGGTGGAGAAGATAAGAAGAGACGAATATCCACAGATTAGAGGTGAGAAATGAAAGATTGCCCTATGGGCCACTACCTTCCCCGTACGGTAGAATTAACACTAACACTTCAATTAGATGCTGTCTACCTTGACCACAGTGGAACAACATTGTATAGTAGCTCACTAGTAAAGGCTTTCACCAAGGATCTTTTGAACAACCTTTATGGAAATCCACACTCCCACAACCCATCGTCCACCCTGTCTTCGGACCGAATAGAAGCTGTCCGCCTCAGAGTCCTAGGGCTCTTCAAAGCCGACCCGGCCGAGTACGACGTTGTGTTTTGCGCCAATGCTACTGCTGCAATCAAATTAGTAGCAGACTCCTTTGCTGGACACATCGGTGGGTTTGAATACAAATACCACAGAGATGTCCACACATCACTTGTGGGGGTCCGAGAATTGGCAACCTCTTCCCAATGCTTCGACTCCGAGCACGAAACCGAAACCTGGCTTTCCTCGGAAAAGACTGCCGAAGAAAATAAACTCGGTCTCTTTGCTTGGCCAGGGCAATCCAACTTTTCCGGTCACCGTCTCCCACAGAATGATTGGTCTGGTCTTCTTCGCAGTCGCCGTCCAAACTACTACTCCCTCTTTGACGCGGCAGCTCTTGCAATGACCAAGCCTATCGACTTCAGTAATCCTTCCGAGGCGCCAGACTTTATGTCTTTGAGCTTCTACAAGATGTTTGGTTTCCCAAATCTTGGTGCCCTCATCGTTCGCCGTGCGTCTGCCAAGGTTCTCGTATCTCGGCGCTATTTCGGCGGTGGAACCGTGGACTCCCTCATCGTCAACAAGGACTGGAAAGTCAAAAGAACCAACGGAGACCCGCATGAATTTCTCGAAGACGGCACATGCGCCTTCCACTCCATAATAGCCTTAGGACATGCCATGACTTGCCATTCCAAGCTGTTTGGGGGGTTCGCACAAATCTCACTTCACACATCATCACTCGCATCTTTCCTTACTGCAAGGATGTCGGCACTAGTACACCCAAAGACCGGCATCAGGGTTGTTGACCTTTACTGCGAAAGTGAACACGCCAACACCCACACCCAGGGACCAGTCATCACATTCAACCTCCGATCAGCCAATGGGGGTTGGATTGGCTACTCAGGTGTCGAATCTGCAGCCGCGGGAAAGAAGATTCACATTCGTACGGGCGGGCATTGTAACCCGGGTGGTGTATCCTACTTTTGCGGGCTTTCGGGTGAAGAGATGGAAAGAAACTTCAAAAACGGACATGTTTGTGGAGATGGCCACGACGTCATGAATGGAAAGCCAACTGGAGCTGTGAGAGTTTCACTGGGCGCTATGACTACCATTGAGGATGTCCTGAAGTTCCTAGACTTCATCAAAGAGGAATACGTCGAAAAGGATAATAGCAAGTGGAGGGCACGCGGAGGTAGGGTGGCTAACATGCTCTGTAACCTTGTTGAGTTTTGATCTCAATTCTCTTTTAATTTTGTTGATTTGAACCATGTCGTATACGTACCACTGTCAGCTGTGTAGTTAAAATCTCCTGTTTATAATTTCCTTATACGGACCGTCAGGATTAATAAGTATCTACATCAGGTTTCCGTCTTGTACCTCTGCTTACTTTTTGGATTGTTTTCATTTGTTGATACGTTTGCCAGTACATGAATTGTTGTTTATATGGTTGGCCCCATGAGCCATGTGTTCATGTACATGAAGTTACATCTCAGCTTCGAATTTAAAGAATCACAATGTATGTATGTCAAATTAAACGATCAAATGACTATATGTGTTCTGCACCTAGTTAGATCTATAGAATACGTTTTCTGGATGCAAATTAAACTCAAACCGGCCCTTGATTAAATTCTATCTAAACAAAATTCGGACGGATACCTAACACAGCTGCAGTCAAGATGAAGCGCGTCGAAGACCATGGCCTAATAACTCTCATAATCACTTCTGGGAAAAGAATTCTCTGGCCCGTCTACCGGATCATATCCCATCACTCACTATCTTCCTGCCTGCTTCAAAAAAATTCCTCCGCCATCGTCAATTCAGCAGGCAATCGTCTATTCAGCAAGCAATCGTCTTTAGTTTCAACCATAGCTACGTCTCAAAATTACCCCTTACTGTCTTACTTCTATGTGGTTCAGTACATGTATAACTATAGCCTTTGAGACGTCAGTGCTCGGACTTCGTCTCACGGCTTGGTAAGACCGAGAGGTGACAGTGAAGTCTCTTGTATCTCGGAAGATTCCAAGATAGTTCTCGGGACATTTGGGGGCGCGGTCTAGCGCCAAGTTCTCTGGAGAGACCTGAGACCCAAGAAGAAACATCGCGGAGGTCATAAAATCTGATTTGGTTGGCTCACTGTACTAGAAGAGTTCATCCCACAGGTCCTGCATCGATCACAGGTGTCCCAATGCATGCAAAGGAAGATACCGACTTTTCTAATGAGGTTTTTATGGATGTCAGAGTCAAATCTAACTGCAGAAATCCAATATCACAGGTATCATGCAGTCTGGAGTAAAATCAGTGTGTTAAGAGGGTTAGATCTCCCAGCCATGATTGCGTACACGTTATTCTCCGGATGTGGCTTTTCCACAAGTCTGGGATGTATTTGGAATACAAGGAATCGAAGAATTTTGCGGAGATGTTGCTTTGATCACAATCTGATCATTGAAGTTGGTTACCGGGATCTTCAACCGTGGCAGGATATTTACAGTCCCGCTTCATGGGCCCGGGTCGGAGATCAATAGCAGACATGGTTTGGGATTGTGACAACCAAGTGCCACCGAGTCGGATGGGTCATATTCATATTTAAACTCCGAGAAGCATGGCCAAGGCGCCTCTGATTCAGTACCAGATGCCACGAAACGGTTACCGGCGAGCCCACACATACAGAATATGAGTAATCAACAAGCTGCATATACCCGCCCAAATGCATGTAAAAAAAAAAAAAGCCATCCTAAAATCATTGCAATATAAGTTCGTGAAATGATGAAGTCAGTCTGTGATCGGACAGATGGTGAAACGTAGCATGTCTTTGAAGTCTCCATACAAGAAAAACTGTGCAACTGTATAATGTTCTCGCCAGTTTGTGCCTTATGTTTGTTTAAGAATAGACGCCCTGTACGCGTACTACAGTTCAGTCCGAAGTTTTACTAATGACCTGTGGCGTACAGATCATACACTGGATTATAGTATGCCAGAAGTGCCAAGGCCGTTGATATGAAAACCGTGGTACATAAACGTGCCATCGATGAATCTATACCTAAGCTTGTGTCAGCTCTGGTTTAAATTAAGGAGATTTTGAATAAACACGCTCACTTTCTCGAGGATTTGCATGCCCGACTCCCTGAAGTACGATCAATTTTGTACCAAGTTTAAGCTGAGTTCATTGAAAATCTTTCCGGCTTCTTACATATCACATAGGGCGCCCTATTCCCGGAGTATTCCTAGAACGGGGTTAAATCCCTACTCAAGAAATTAAGTGCAGTGATATATATCGATTGTAATCACTAGAGTAGCCCAAACCACCACCACCTTAGCTAGCACCTACATATGAGACAAAAGCTCAACTTCAATCTTCAGATGAACTCCCCGTGTACACGAACTCGTGGAGAAACCTACTTAGACATTGCACCGGCTTAGCTTCCCCCCTCTATTCTTGGCGTATGTTTAAAACACGGACAACCGACGAGAAACAAAACAGTTTCAGAAAACAGGAGCTGGAAAACCAATCAGGCCGTGCAGCCACGCATGTTGCTCACGGTCCCTCGACACATGTTGCCTATTGATGGACGGAGGCTGCTTTTGATTTATGAAGGAAGACAAATCCTGTATTCTAGAAGCCAGGTACCTAAAACATATAGCCCGGTATGTTTCTTTTATGCACTGCTTTATTGTTTAGTCGTGCATACTGTTTATCCTCTCATAGCTGCGCGGGCTAAACAGTTCTATAACTATCGAGATGCAATGGCCGGGAACGGATACCTATGGGGTCCGACCACCACATAAATGGTGATCCATATCAATATAGAGTGGGGGGCATTTGGCGATGAATTCTGTCGAGTCGGCAGAAATCACTGTGAGACCTTTGAGGATTTAGGGTTGCTATTCTTTTGGATTAATTCTCAGCCACTCGGGGGAGGTTACCGTAGCAAGTATAGTAGTTCAGGCAGTCGATATCAGAAAAAAATACGCTTGTCAAGTGTAGGATCGAGCTTTTGGGGTCAAGTTATTGATACATGAAGTCAGGGAAGCCAGGACTTCTACCCAGCCTTCAGCGCTGCATAAGCATTCCGGGCCGCTGTACGTCTTCGTTATACCTCATAGGGACAGATTTCCATTCTTATCATCTCACCAATCTGTTATCCCCAGGTTGTTAAGCTTGTGATACAAGACATCCATACTAGGGCGTTTATCCTAGCTGTCACGGCGCTTAGATAGATGACTGATGAAGTGTGCGTCTTTGGTAGCTACCTAGACCGGTGAGAAGAATAATTTACCGATACTTCCGCCTTTGCACATGACGATTAACTCCATACTCGCGATAAAACAAAGTTGCATAAACTTACGTGATAGATGTCATCGTCGCCCGGATCAGAACAGTACCATGTACAATATAGGTATGATTGAACCTTGTATCTATTTGCCCTGTTGATGTAGCACACGATCATTATCGCAGATCTTAAAGTCGCCAATGTTCCAGGAGACAAGATGGTGGAAGCTGAGGTCAGGGAAGAACCCAGCGTAAAGTGGCACGGATGTGAAGGGCCGAGCGCCACCAGGGTACCATGCAAATGACATACCATGCAGATCATATATCTGCATGAGGTAGCTGCTTCCTGGGATAGCTTCTGCCTAGTTGTGTAATATCTTGTGGGGCACGATTAGTAGGTCCAACTAACGACAATAGATGCACTTTCGAGTGATAATCCATGAGTATAATTGCCCTTACGCGGTAGCCCCCTATAAACCGGAAGATTCTTTGTGGCTTTGACTGGCACGGAAGGGGTGTTTCCTTCAGCGCCATCAGTGCATAATTCAGGGTTTCTCAGTACGCCTTCCTATCCCATCCGAGATCCTCGGAATCTTGGTCATCCTATGCGAACTTGTAATTTTAGTCGGGCGACCTGGGAGCGGTCCTGGGTCGTCGTTATTTCTGGGTCTGCCAGAGACACAGTCAGGGTCTCTTTGTTTACGAGAAGAGTGTGGGGCAATGCGAATAAAACCTTAAGATTTTAAAGGCCTCAACCACTGCTTGTTTTGGTAGTGATCAGTCCAAGTGTCACGGGTCACTTTCCATCCTCCGATTCTAAACCGCAATCATTAGTGTTGGTCTGTATAGATCGAGCAAAAATAAGCGACTCTCGGCTAAAGGTGAATTTTTCTAACTAACCTTCTGCGTGTTTGTTTTAGTTGATTTGGAATTTCAGTACGGTAGAGGCGCTAGGTATCCGATAAGTACATGTAGTCCGTGTTATCCATAAGACTTAGGACTCGCCCAAATTGTGTTGTATCGGGAGCTCATGCTTAAACTATAAATCTGGTTCCATCCATGTCAAAGAAAGCTAGACTTAGCGGCTCTATCTGGGTGTTACTAAGAAAGGCTTCTTCCACCCTGGGTCTACACAGTAGAAGTGCATTTATGGTCCCTTGATTATTGTCGCCTGGGAGGCTATGCATGGGGAGCTCTGTACGGTGTCTATCAGGAGAAACGTAATGGAGTTGATGAAGCCTCGGCCAGAAGAGCGGTCTGGATGGTCCTCATCTATCGATAGGATACTTCCAATCAACCGGGGAATCAAGGTAGAATAGCATCGGATCAACTAATAAGCCCGATCATAATTCCTTTTTCCAAAAAGGGGGGGCCTCACGAATATAACTTCGTCGAGAAATCAATTGTGGAAGGGATGATGGGCCAGATAGAAATGAAATTATATTAAGGAGTTGTGAAGACGATGATGGAGTGTAGAGGCAACAAATTGAGAGGTTACACTACATGTAGTGAGATGTGCTGCTTCTCAATGCCAAACTCCCACCTTTCTCATCTCTTACCCGGCCAATAACATCGAGAAATCAACCCCCAATCTTTAACTTCAATCACACCAACTGATAGTGTCTGAGAACGGAGACCTACAGGATAACTAACATACAGAATGACTTGACGCGCTTGGGGGCATTCGGTCCCACCTTTAACACTATTAGCAGAAAAATGGCTCTGTAATTATACGTATACTCGACGCTATCGCCGTATACACGCCCTGGTTGAGCTAATCGCTGGCGACGGCTCGTCAGCACTATTGGATCCGGGAACTACATCGATTCAAAGGATGGAGTTGATAAAAAGGGCATCCTGATGTGCCAGGTCCTGAGACTTCTTTATCACATTCTTATGTTCCAAGATTGACCTGGTGCCACCCAGCCGACCTACCCCGAGGATAATATGGGTTTGCAGGAACAGAACTTTGAACGGGGCTGGTATGGCCTGCGCTCGTCTAGTAAGTTTGGACCAAGTCGATGGCCTCGAGGGTAGTGGTCTAAGCTGGCATAAAAGTCGACTCCAAGCTACAAACTAATAAATTAACTTAGTATACAAATCTAAGCTGCACAGCACTTGATTCTGGGGAAAGACTCTTGATTTATTGAGACCAAACCTCGAGTAAAAAGAGAAAAGAACCCTGTTCTTGAAACAGCTTCTCTGGCCTGCCTTGAACTTTTAGATTCAGAATATATGACACGGCTTTGACCTTGAAGCGGATCGCACTGCCTGGAGGAGCTTGGAGTGGGATAATGCCCACCCCCCTTCCTCTCTCTGTGTTCCGGATATTTACTATACTGCCATATATCCACCAATTCATACAGCTCGCCCTCCAACACTACTCTGAGGGTCATAAAATACTGACTCTACGCATGAAATTTTACACAGCCAATAATCTCGCAAAAGTGAGAAAGAGCATTTCATACTGCCTTTGGCACTCCGTGCACAAACCCACAATCCATCCCACCTCTCCCACTTCTGCCCCAAAGTTTATATGTGCTTGCCAAAATACCGGTTGAATTAGTATAGTTCAAATTAAACCCGCGATATCCTGCTTAAAATATGTTGATATTGATAGGTGTAGTTCAAGGCAGTAAGGTTATGGTGTCGAACTGGTGTCGAACTGTCGAACAGGTGTCGGACAGGCAGTGTCGGACATGTGTCAGACAGGTGTCGAATAGTAAAGGCCTCGCTGTCAAGAGGAATAGTGTCCTGTCCGGGTTCCTATAAGATAGCATGTATTAGCCTTAGACCTCAATATCAATCGAAAAATACTTATACTCGTCCTACTTTTCAACAAAATAAACCGGCATCTAAGCGAGTGATATCTCATGACTGCCACAATACTAGTGTATCATCACAGATTGTCACTCGGGGATTTCTGATACAGCAGCCTTAACGAAGATCCCTGTATATAAATTGAGAAAGCTGGCCGATATAGACTCTAACAACCCTCCACCTGATAGATACATCCAGTGTGATATTGCTCTGGGCGATATATAGAGTTCGAAATGTGAGAGGATTCTAAAACGGCAGAGAGCGCCATGAGAACCCCCCTAAAGCGGCGCGGTAGGAATAATCGCCATATAGCGTATGCACAGAGCTATTATAGTCCTTATTATAAACTCTGCATGTCCTATCGGTATTCCGTGCCATGCATATGCCGTTTCAGTCTCCGGCCGAGTTCTTCAGCTCAGCCCATGACCACGATTATTATGGCGTACTTAGATCCAAAAACCCTCATTTTAAGTTAGTTGACAGATTTAGATAAGACATCTACCCATCAAACTTGGCCGGCTTGTGTACGTTATGGTATAAGGGCTACCGTTAAACGGCGATTGTGCGGATTGACGAGCTCGGTGGTCTTTCCCACTAAGCCTACTAGGCCCGCCTCCTTGGTTGGGGTTTAGCTAGATAGCTCGACCGATCCGTACGCTCATTACATACCCTCGAGATATATTGAGAATTCGGGGCGTGGTAGATGCTTAGTAGGTAATAGAGTACGGTGATGTCGAGAGGTAGCCTTCTTAAGACTATTCGGGGAAAAAGATCCAGTACATAAGTCCTGCTAGATCTTTATCTCATCTTCGCTGTCTTGGCGAACAGTGCGGTATTGTCGTTTGGTCAGAGAACCCCATAGAAAAAGCCGCAGAGTCCTCCTGTCTGTGGACGAGACTTAGACCTGGCTACAAGAATGCCTATCTTTCCGCCTTATCTTCTGGCCCCATATGTCATTCTTCTTCTTTTTGTGGTAGATGCTGGTTATGGCCATGCTGCTTTTTACCCGTTTTCTCCCGAAAACATATATTCGTAGTTAGTGCAAAGCGGATATTTATTTCGCGCTCATCTTCCAAGCCTCGGTTTGGAGCCCTCGGGGATTTTAAGTGACCCTGTTGTGTGAGATACCCCATGCTTAAAAGGCCGGAAATCCCTATAGGACCGGGGGTCGGAGCTTGATAGTAGCAACTGGCCTTGTACATTGCCTGCCTTTTCATTCTAGTCAATGTTTTACAGAAGCGTTTGAGCGCCTTGGAAAGTATGAATTGCTCTCCTCCAAGCTAGCCACGAAGAATCCGAGTCTTGAAGGGAGACCTTGACACACATACCTGTCTCTCTACCCCAGATCCCACACCCAGAAAGCTAGAAACATCAGTAGACTAACATATATGTATACCTCAAAAACAAGAACAACTTGCTACACGTAGTTAGTGCCCCGCAGAAGAATCTCTTGGACCGCAGAAAGTCCCCTTATACCAACCCACATTAATGTACTTCAAAAAGCCACACAAACGCCCCCACCGCCCGGCTACAGCCACACGCACCACCCCCCCCCCCCCCCTTTCCCCCCCCGACGGCAGCGCACACAACCCGTCTCAGTCTTATCAAGTTGTGTTGAGAGACCAAACGGTCAGACTAGACCATATCCGGCTCTACCCGCCAACACAACGTGACAACACCAGACGGTTGCGGTATATCCACGCACCTAGATAGAATTGTTAGCACGGGGAATTTACCCGGGGGTGGGTGGGTGGGGATAGTGGTTGATTGGGAGGGGGGGGGGTTACTTACTGGTGGTTTACTAGATTTAGTGGTGGCTTGGAGGGTTGGAGGATGCTAGATCTTTCTCTGTTGATGTGGTTGTGGGGTAGCAAGGAAGGAAGGAAGGAAGAGGAGGAAGAGCGGAAGAGTGGGGCAGAGAAGGTGGGAAAAGAAACATGTGGTGCGGTGCGGTGTGGCTAGCTGGCGGGGAGCGGGTAACCGGCGGGACTGTTTATACTACTACGGGGCTGTTTACCCTTACGCCTACACTGCAGCTGGCTAGCACAGACTCCGAGGCCTCCTCTCACCAGCACTCCACTCCACCTCAATCCCCGCGACCCTAACCCTACGAGTGACAGCGCATGATCGGCGCAATCACAGTCTCTCACTCGCCTCGCTCCTCCTCCTAAAACAACCATTGTGATTGTCGATTCATTTACGTATGCACTCACTCAAACACAAATTAATTGGTTGCCTCACATCCATTGCTAAACACACAAGCCACAAATAACCATAGTAGCATAGAATCATCTCATTAGCCCCCACCACCAATATTAACACCGAGCACTAGACTAGCTAATCTCCCGCGCCATCCTCTATGTATACTATCGTATCTACGCACAGAACAACAAATGAATCATAAAAATAAGAGAGAGAGGGACTAGAGAGATAGACCAAGGGGGAAATAGACAAGGGGGGAAAGAACAAGAGCAGTCATTGCCACCCCACTACAACAGAAGAAGAAAGAAAAAAGCCACAACCATAAAACACTACAATAACAAAAAGCGAGAACGCCGTTTCCAAACACCGCCATTAACGAGCAAAAGTTACAATCGGTTACAATAGGGATAAGAGGTTACAAGACAGAAGAGGTTTCGGAGGCGAAAAAGAAAAACACACAACATAAATACAGCAAGCCCGCGGGCACGCGTACCTGCCAAAATTGCATTCCATTTCCGAAGGGGCGGTTAAATATAGAGCGGGTCGGGTGAGGGTATAGCAACAAAAAAGGCCAAAAAAAAAAGCCACAAGCTACAAGCACAACAAGTCCGCCCCACTTACTGAAAGACCAACCCCACCACGCACCTGACGGCCTCAAACACGCCGCGGTCCTTGACAAGCGCTGTAAACACCTCGCCCACCTTCCTGAGGCTGCCGCGGTCGTCTGCGTCTTTCCCTATCACGCGCATATCCATTAGCACCCGTCCACTCCTTCACAAATCATACCAGACCAAACCAAACCAGAAAAGAAAAGAGTAGAGGGGGGTGGGAGAAAGGAAGGAAAATACTCACAGCACCCCGGAAACCTCACATCCGCACTCAACCCGCTCTCCGCCTCCCCCACGTCGTCCACACTGATCCTCCAACACACCACCAGCTCCACTCCCCCCTTCTCACCTCTGCGCCGGAAAACAAGCACACTCCTCCCCAACCACGCCACCATCTCCCTCCTGCCCACCTTCCCCTTCTCTCCCCCCTTTCCTACCACCCCCACCGCCCCCGTCGCAGGAAGCAAGTCCGGAAAGCTCCTCGTACACCTAGCAAACACTCCCGCCCGCCTCTTCGCCAGTACCGTATAGCTACTCAACGCATACAGCACTCTATTCACATCCCCCTCCGCCGCCGCGGCGGCCAGCGGCGCAGTCAGCTCGGCTCGCGCCCATGGCGAGATGGTGGTGGAGAGGCTGTGGATTTGGGAGGTAGGGGGGTCGAGGATGAAGGTGAGTGTGAAGGTGAGGAGGCGGGTGGAAGCGTAGCCGGTGGCTGTGTGCTCCTGGAGGGGTGCGGGGGGTGCTGCGGTATCGGCGGTGGTGAGGAAGGCGGTGGTGTCGTCGCCGTCGGAGGTGGTGGGGAGAGGGGGTGTGTAGGTGCTTGTTGAGGCGCGGGTGAAGGTGAGACAATGGAATGCCCCCGGGTCTGCAGACTCGCGTGGGCGTGCACTCGGTATCAGCTCATCCTCCTCTACCTCCGCAGCTTTCAGCGCCGGTAGTGTCGTGTGTGAGCCGTCGTTGGCGGCGAGTAACCGCTGTACTAGCGCCTGTAGCCCGTCATCCATTTTATCCTTCTCCACTCTATCCACCCTCTTCACCACTCCCGCCACCGCCGCCGACTCCCTTGCGATCCTTGCCTCCTCCAGCTCCCGCTGATCCTTCAACCCCTCAATCTCCGCCCTCAGCGCCGCCACCCTCTCACTCAGCAGCTTCCTGAGCGCCTCTTCATCATCCGTGACGTTTTCCTTCTGCTGCGGTGTCTTCTCTTTAGCTGGTAAGGGGGTGTCCTCGTCGCGCGGGCGCTTCTCGTTCCCCGCCTTCTCCACCAGCACCGGGCGGCGGGGCGCCGGCGTGGGTGTGCCCGGATCCGCAGCACCACCACCACCACTACCGGGGGAGTCTACGGAGGTGCCCAGGCGTGTAACGCTGCTGCCGACGTCCGAGTCTTGGAAGAAGCTTGGTGTTGCCGGTGGGGGCTGCTTGCGGACGGGGGATTGGGAGAGGCGTGGGCTGCCGATGGGGCGGAAGCGGAGGGAGGAGGCGGCGGTGAAGACTTGTGGGGGGGCGGGGGGTTTGGTGGTTGTTGTGGTTGTGGTTGTGGTGGTGGTGGATTGGGAGGCGGACTGGGATTGCGGGCGCAGGAGGAGAGGGATCTTGGATGCGGGGGGCCCGGGGAGCTTGATCCGCTTGGGCGGGGAGGGGTCGACGGATGTCATTTCTGCGGCGTGCGGGTACCGGTGGTCTCTTATTATGCGGGTGCCAGTATTCTCTTATGTTTGTAGGTGTTCGGGTGTCCGGGTGCGGTGTGCAGTGTGCGGAGTGTGCGGGTATACCGGTGCTCTCTCTCTCTCTCTGCCTGCGTGCGGTGGTGTGTCGTGCCGGTGCTCTCAGGCAGATCTGGATGCAGCGCAGGGTGTCGCGCTTTGTGTTTGTTTATGCGGCGCACGTGATGCGGTTACCCGGCAACGTTGTGGTTGTGCGGTGGGGAAGCGCGTGTTGGTGCGGGCGTTGCCAGTGAGAGCTGGCCTGGGCAGACCGGCTATCCCGAATTGAGCTCTGGTGAGAGGGAAATAGATCTCTGACTTGAATATAGAGAGATGTCTGTGTATCTCAATTGTGCCTGCTACTCTCTGCGGGACCGAGTGCTGTAGATGTAAGTAAATATTCAGATATTCAGATCAGTTGACATGACATCGGCTGTCTGTCTGGTACCTCGAGATACATCTGTCGCGGAACATCTTAGCATTGGCCGGCTGTCATCTGCTGTTACCCTGCCCATCACACGTGCCCACGCTCTCCGGCCATCTCCAAATTCAATTGAGCTCAGCTCTCCGCATCAACCAGCTCCAACCCCCACAATTACCATCACCACCAAACACCAAAACACCAATTCACAAGCCCTCACAACCACCCCCCCCCCCCCCCCCCCCCCACAAACCCCCCCAAACACCTCAACATGGCGCTCTGGAACGCCGACACCGTCAAAGACGTCTCCGAGTCCGTCGGCATCCCCTCCCTCTCCGACGACGTCGCCAAAAACCTCGCCATGGACGTCGAATACCGCCTTCACCAGGTCCTGCAAGAAGCCCTCAAGTTCATGCGCCATTCCAAGCGCACCACCCTCGCCACAACCGACATCTCCAACGCCCTGCGCGTGCTCGACGTCGAGCCGCTGTACGGATACGAATCCACACGGCCCTTGAAGTTTGGAGAGGCGTCCTTGGGGCAGGCACAGCCAATTTACTACGTTGAGGATGATGAGGTGGATTTTGAGAAGCTGATCAACGCGCCGCTCCCCAAAGTCCCCCGCGAGGTGACGTTCACCGCACACTGGCTCGCCATCGAAGGCGTCCAGCCCGCCACCCCCATGAACCCCACGCCCTCCGAGTCCGCACGCCAATCCGAAACCACCCCTAAAGGAGCTCCTCCACCCGCCAGCACCACCGTCCCCACCACCGCCGACGTGTCCGTGCGCCCGCTCGTAAAACACATCCTCAGCAAGGAGCTGCAGCTCTACTTCGACCGCGTATGCAGCGCTGTGACGGACGAATCCAACGACGCACTGCGGGCAGCTGCGCTCGCCTCGTTAAGGAATGATCCTGGCCTGCACCAGCTGCTGCCGTACTTTGTGCAGTGGATCAGCGAGAAGGTCACGCATGGGCTCAAGCACCTGTTTATCCTCTCCGTCATGCTGCAAGTGACACACGCGCTGCTCGAGAACAGCAATCTCTTCATCGAGCCATATGTGGCTGCTCTCATCCCCCCAATCCTCACCTGCCTGATTGGCAAGCGGCTCGGCTCCGGGGGCGGCGGCGACGCCGCAGCATACGAGCTGCGGGACCTGGCCGCCAGTCTACTAAAGGCGGTTTGTAAGAGGTTCGGGGATAGCAGCCACACGCTGAAGCCGAGACTGACGAGGACGTGCTTGAAGCACTTCCTGGACCCAACGAAGCCGTATGGCACGCATTATGGGGCGATCATAGGGCTAGCGGCGGTCGGTGGAAGGGAGGCGGTGAGGGTGCTGGTGCTGCCAAATGTTAGGCTGTTTGTGGAGGGGGTTGTGAAGGGGGATGGGGGGAGCGAGGCGGAGAGGGTGGTGGGGGCTGTGGTAAGCGTGTTGCGGCTGCTGGAGGAGGAGGGGGCGGGGGTGAAGGCAGAGGGGGAGATGGATGAGGGGATGAGAGAGAGGCTCGTGGAGAGGGTGGGTGAGACATTGGCGGAGGAGGTGTGGAGGGTGGGCAGGCCGGGGCTGGTGAAGGCCATTGTGGAGCCCGTGGGGGGGTTGTAGAGGGGAGGGGATTGGCGTATTTCTTTTTTCTTCTGTTTTTCCGTTTTATAAATAGGTGTAATGGGGATATGACTTTCCTTCTCTTCCTTCTCTCCCTTCACTTCGTTCTCTTGTTACGCTTATTGGTTTGCGTGATGAGCAGTGGCTAGAATTGTGATATATACTCAACAGTCACGGACAACAACCGACGGTTTCAGGCTGTTGGAGATCAAGGCCCCATTATCAGAGGTCTAGAGAAGGCTGTGATACTAAATGCTCGGATGCAAAAACGAGAGTGATAATGATTGATCGATGATTGATAATTCATCAATTGAGAGCGATAATGGTTGGACCAAGTGGGCTGCCGCAGCTTAACTTATAGGGCTTGAAACTAACACCTATGCTAAACCGAGTCCGACCACGTAGCCGTTGAAACGTGTTTTAACACATATTCTGCTAACCTGCCCCACAACGGCGACAAGGTCACAGAATATCACTCGTGCCCGCCCACCCACATTGCGAGTGATAATTTTTTTTTTTTTTTTAATTCATTAATTGTATGCAGACCGTAGTCTATGACAATACATTGCGAGTGATAGCATATGATTAAAGTACTAGAGGTTTTCCCGTTTGTTACCAACCGGAATCATTTCATGATGCCCAATCTCAATTTATACTATCAATTCAAACCAGGTTGGTGAACGAAATAAAGCCTTACGTTTCTCTTTTCCCTGCTACTCTGGCCTGGAACCTTTTTGCCTTTGGAAGTACTTTCCCGGGCGGAGTAAACAGAACAATCATTTTATTGAAGGGCTGTTCCGGCATATTATATTCCAGTACACCCTTATCGTTCTATGTAGGGAGCCTGGGTGCAAGGCCAATCATCACCCGCCATTTGCGAAATTTCTTTTCGTCCTGACCTTTTATATATTAGGAGATGTAGCTCCACCCACGCCAAGATCATAACCGCATCCTGACATCGTTTCCCACACACTTAAGTGCCTACGAAAGAGAGCATCACGGACAGATGCCACCATGCGCAGAAGGGGAGTGGGGAGCACCTGTTTATTTGGATTCGGGTGAGAGGAGGAAGTAAGAGGATGACTGATTCTTATTGATCAATCGAATATGAAGAGGGAAGAGTCCTCTATTTATAGTGTAAGCAAAGAGACTGTACTTTAACACGTATTCACTGCTTGAAAAGAAGTTAGAAAAGGACACACATATAGCTGACGTGACAAGAACATGCTCAGCATGAACAAAATACCGTAGCAAATATTGCCAAGAACAACAACACCCACTTCTGAAGCTGCTAATGAGGTCTTGGAGTGGGCCCTCCGTTGGCTCTGGTTGGGGACTGAGAGGAAATAGGGGAGGGAAGAGGGATGCCCCTCATTTTTCCTGCTCTGATCTTTAGTGCTCTCTAGCGCTAGCACTCCCGCGACTCTTCCCTTACCTTGTTTTCTTTACACTCTTCATCTCTTCCCCCCGCCTCATCTCGATGTCCCGTTCCGCACATTGTGTGTCGATCTCTTTCCCCCGGGCGACGTAGGGCTGGCCGTGGATTAGTCTAGTCCCACCAGTTAGTTACCCGCTCCCCACAGGCTACTACACCACGTCTAGTCTCGCACCCATCCCCTACTTGCAGCAGCTGGAAGGATGGAAGCAGGGGGGCTGAGGACGAGCCTACACCACGTCTTCTCTTTCCTTCCCACTTCTTCCCTTTCCCATCTCTTCCTTCCTACCCACACAACCACAACCACATCAACCACCAGTATAAAATCTAACCTACCCCCCATCCCCCCACCATCAACTATAACCTAGTCAAGGTCTGTCAGTAAGTAAAACCCATTACATCAACACATATCTACCCAGGACAAACTTACAGATGCGCGGATACGCATCAAGCGTCTAGTGTTGCCACGTTGTGTCGCAGGAGTCTCAACAGGAGGTCTGGTCTGACCTGTTGATCTCTTACGACACAATTTGGTAAGACTGAGTCGCTTTGTGTGCGCCGCCATTCGTCATCAAGTTAACAGGTATCAGTGGTAATGGCTGTGCTGTTTTGGTGTGGGTGTCTGTGTGGCTTTTTGGAGTACCAGGAGCGTTGAAGGTAGATTCGGTGCCTTGTTAGGGGGATTTTAGAGCCTAGTTGGTGGGGTAATCTGGGGTGGGTATAGTAGGGCGTTTGTTGATCGAAGAGATTCTTCACGGGCTTTATATATATCAAATTGTTCTTATTTTCAAGATATAAATGGTTCACTGACATTGGCTTATTAGTAGCCGCAATCCTTTTAGATCCAGCCGGTAGGCGCACCTTTTGTGCCGAGCAGTATCACGATAGTTGTGCTTAGCGGACATAGAGTTATCTCAACAGATAAAAGACTCGTCTAACCTGCTGCATTCTAAATACACAGGTCCAGGACAGAAATTGAAGGGAAAACGGAGATAGTTTTGGCCTGGTCTACTTATTATATCATTTCTAAGCCATGCAGTCCACATATGTGCCTGTACCGGCCGAGCAAAACATCTTCCCAACTTGCATCTTTTACCTCCAGCTGGAGTACTAGGCGCAGATCGCTACCAAGAGTTCTCCTGGATCCGAAAATCAAGCTATCATGGAAAAATAAATTCAAATTCGTCAATATCACAACCCAAGATCATATAATCAATCGACAACTAAGTGCCTGAAAGAACAAAGACTCTTTATTAACCTGCGCAACATGTCAACCAGTCATTTTTTCTTCCTTTACGATCCATCTACAATGAGCGGGGCTAATATCGAAGCAAGGTTTCATATACCAACCTTATATTCCCTTATCGAGAGCTTATAAGGCTGCTGGGTCACTATCCATTGACATTAGCTTCATACATCGCACTTACTGGAGCTTTCTGCTAAGTGGTACCGAAACCCCAAGGGAGCTCGAGTGAAGACTCCCAGGAATACCCCACACACTTTACCTCTCTATCCAGAGACATATATGAACTGTGATGAAGCTTTTCTGTACGAACGAGAGGTAGAGATCGCTTCCCAGCCTATGAGGATTTTGAGCGAGTGATATTCTGTGATTATAAATACAGCGCTTGCAATATTTGCCTTGGGATTTTAGTGAATTCTCTACTAAATTTTTTGGCCCTAATGATTCATCAATTCTTTGGTTGAGCTGATTAGTAGGTAGTAAGGTTCATATCGGACTCGGATGGGTGGCCATGTCCCGAATATGAGGACTTCCCGCAACTGCATAGCACATATGTGGATAGTTGGTTGTCCACGCCTCCTACTCAGGCACAGCTCGCCTACTTTAGAGATGGTTTATTACTCAAAGTACACACGTGTTCATCAATAGACACGGGCAATATCTCCGCAATAGCTCTTAATCTTAAAGATTGCTCCCCATAGGCCAGGTTTGAAGTAAAAGACAAAATCGGGCTGTACCCACAATACAGGCTCTCGCCGTAGATTGGTGCATATAGATAGAGCGGTACTCCAGAGCCATTTTTCATCTGTCAAAAGTCATGACATCATCTACGGCGCACTGGATTTCAGGATTCGTTTAAGAGTATGATTCGTTATTGGTGTGCTGGACTGCCAAAGTTAGAATACCATACTAACAAACGAGTTTGAGACGACCGGTGTCAAAGGGCCCGGCCTATTCCAAGAGGAACTCATCCTGTCAGCGTTTCGGTGAGGCCTAAAACGAATATAGATGGGAGCTTGTATGTCTTCTTGTCTCAAAATCTCTTTCCCAAGATCAGAGGCCTTGGCTAGTCCCCTCTATCTGAGCAGAAACGTCTCAATGCTTGGAGTTTTCGGTACGCTTTATATATTGTAACTAGAACTTTTAAAATCATAGACCGACATCGCCCCAATCATTGTGCAAGCATGTGGTCAGAGCTCGGTCTGTACCAACGTATGTAGAAGTGGTCAGAAACTGTTTGTGCCATTTTATCGAGTGGTACAGTACTCGCCCCTTGATTCCCGCCGTTATCCAACTCAATCCTCATGTTACTAAAACCTCATATCTATCAGAGACTAGTATCACCATCACAGAAATTCCCGTTGAACCGTACGCTCCTTTCTCTGATATTTGTGATTTCTGGCGCCAGGGCTGTGGAGACAGGAGTGGGATGTTTTTTGTCCAACACGGGGGGTAGTTCCGGTCATGTAGGTGGGATATATGTATATAGAGAGAGGTTCTGCAGAGCTTGAAGAAGTTGGGTGGGGCAGATGAATCCTTGTGTGCGAGAGGAAAGAAAAGTATGGCGTTGATGAGCGGGGTTCTGGATATGTTCTGTTGTGTAGGTGATTTGGTGGTCGGCGTAAGTCGGTAGGCTAGTACTTGCCAGCAAGTGTGGACTAACGTCAACCCTCCTACGTAGAGGATGGGCACGACACCACGACGTCTTGCTGTCTTTCCGCACTTTCCAACAACCCCTTCAAGTTTACATCCAGATTCTGATACCATCATCCATTTTGTCAATGCATACACTCTGGTTCTTAAATCGATACACCCATTCCACCCTTCACCTACAAACACAGCTGACCGCTCTATCCGTGAGGTTCTGCACTCCAGATACCAGACGCTACGTTGCTAGCCCTGCTTACTCGCTGGGCTGCTACAAGTTTGAGCCTCCGGAGTACTGACAGAGTGCTTCAGAATCTGTTTTTGTGTTGCCATTACAATGATAGTTTACCATCAGCCTCGTCGGTAGTGGTGTGTATGGCTTGAAAGCACTCAGGCAATGTGCTGGCAGTTGGTTTGAACATCTCGCTCACTTCGTACCAGCCTTTCAGGTTGACGCCAAACTAATTAGTGTTTGGACGAACTCCCTCTGATGGGATTCTGGCTTCTTCGAGACTACCACCAGAGAGGCATGGGCTGAGAAACTATTATCGATTGGTGCCCGGTGTAACGCTTGGGGAATTTCCCGCATATGCATGGACAGTGGGTTAGGGTTGTTAATAAATCCAGGATAGGATAATATTTAGCAAAGAGGTTAAACTAGCCATTTCAGGCCATCTTCTAATAATACAGGAACGGGTACTTTTGGCTGGAGGGAAAATTACAAACTCAGCCGCAAAGAAAAAGCACGGGAGGGCTCCTTTTGATTTTAATCAAACCCTCACTGCCGAAGAACTCCAAGGTGCCGAATCAACCCGATATACCTATCTGGAGGGAAGGAAGAAAGACGGCCGCAGTCGGGATATGCACGTACCAGTGAAGAGATTTTTTTGGTCTTTTTCTGTCCCAACATCTGCAAACGCCTGAAGGGTTATATTGCGTTGTAAAGTAAAGGGTCAACCGAAATTACTTTCAAGCCTGTCACCATCAGCGCCCAAGTCAGGTACCGTAGTAGTACAAGCAGGGTTTTGGGTGCTCTCTAATATATATGCTCCCCGGATTAAGCGAATAGATTAATGATTAATAGCCTGACTAACAGCTTTTGTGGTAGATCAATAGACAGAGCATAAGTTCAAGTCTTTTAGGCCAGATGGAATGCTTTGGTATCATAAGGGTATTCGGAGTAGTTGGAAATACTTGAGAGCTCGAAGGACAAGGCACAGGCACACGGTATTTACAAATATATACTCCATACTTACTTCTCCCACGGCACTACAGTTGCACCTTGCTATGGGGGAACTCAATATGCCGGACCCCTTGCTGTCTCGTACGAAATTCTCTGGGAATTCTTTTTTTCTACTGCAAAATCAATTTGCTATCCCGGATTTCTCGGGAATATTTGCTATCCCGTACAAGATTTGGTGAATCTTGGCCATCCGGCATAGCGAGGTGCGACTGTAAACAAGGCTGCAGAATACCAGGCTAACGAGGTTTGGTGAACTGGTCCAGCGAGTTCTTATCGATATGAGGCCCTATCTGCTCCACGGCTCTGATCTCCGCAGACAGCATGGCGGACACGGCGATTCTTGAAGACTTTGTAGCCTTCGCCTTTTATTACTCAGAAACCCCTCTACCAGTCGCCTCTGACATACAGGTACATTTCTGTGCTTTGATCTGAGAGAAGTATCATCTAAGACAGTATCACTTGACGAATTGTCTCTTCCTCAGTTTCTTGTGTGACACCCCACTCGCATTCCACCTTTCCCCTCATCAACGCAGGGTCTCTCCTACAAATCTACTTAGTTGCATTTTCAACACTGGATAGCTGGAGATCAGTCGCTCCCCCTCAAGATGAGGGGAACATGATAAAAGGGACATTAAAAAAAGCAAATCACAAGATCAGACGGAGGAGAGAATCCGAGACGCCCTCTCCTCTTCCCCGCGGGAGGGGCACGATCCCTAGATTCTGATACTAATTATTATCATAGGATCCCCGCGATCTGATTGTTTTAACACTCTATCGTATCGTATTATCGCTACCCCTCTTTACGTCTCGTTACCTCACTCTACTATTTCACCTCCTCTCCAGATATTCAAGAAGAAGACTTCATGCAACTAGGAAGACTGTCGAATCAGGCTGCGGAATTGGCTCGCGTGATGCAGTTCTGGCCATGATTAAAACCCCGGTCCTTGATCCGCCCTGGTTAGCTTAACTAAGGCGAAGTCGGTTGTTAAATCATTTTTTTTTAATTTATTTTTTTATTTTATCTGTGTTTAAATGTTTTATCATGGGTGTGGTGGGTGCGGGCGCGGAAGGTATATCCAAATCGATAGAAAGCACGGTGTGAAGATAAACTCGCGTCTTCTAGCAATCCTGGACCTGTTTGAAAGCTCTGGAGGTGGTTATAAACTCCTTCTCTGCGGACCCTCCATGGCACGTCCTTTCATGCCATGCACGTGCTACAGATACATAGCATGACGTACGCAGAGTACCGACGATGTAGGTACTTTAAGTCCCAGCAGCGAGCACGCACATTCTGCTGTAGGAGTGTTACTCGGGCCAGGGGAATAGATATCTACCGTCTACGTAAGGGTCCTCGGCTTATCGCCTCTGAAGAATGTGGGGGACAAAGAAAAAAGCGACAGGAATTCACGGCTACTTTGCGCGCGCGCTCAAGGGATAGAAAAGCCGGAAATTGTTTTAAATTAGTATCCTGCTGATTTTTATTATTATTATTTTGCGCCTCGGCTGAGAATAAAAAAGAAAAAAGGAAAGGAAAGATTGATAGAATTGACGTTTTCACCGACAGGCAGACCACGGGGTTGAGTTTACAATCGCCAAATCCAGGAAACATGTACGTCTGATCTAAAGACAGACTTACAAGACCGGCTGTTCGCATAGAAACACCTCTATCGATTCCCGAAGCTGGATTTCGCTAAAAGCTCCGAAGTCGATCGCTCCAATTGGCTGGAAACGAAAGCTGGAAAGAAAAGAAGGAAGGGAACCTCCCCTGTTGTTTTACCTCACATTTCACATAGAGTGGGAAATTGGGTATGCCATGCAATGTAACGCATGATCTGGTCCTATGGATCCACCATGAGACTCCATCCCTTACAGCTTTGACTTTGGAGATGGTCCTATCTTCAGCTCTGTAGAGAGATACTCTTGTCAAGAGATATGTCAAGCAGATGCACGTAATAAACGAAGATGAGCAGGGGAGAGGTTTACAATTGAACTATTCAATTGGAGGTCTCGCGCTTGTGGTGGGACCCCAATTAGGACGCCAATTTCCTCATCTGGTATCAGCGACGGATGCTCGCAGCGTTAAAGAACTTGACTGCGAAAATGAAGATGTCGTCGCAGTACTTTGGATACACCACACCCCCGGCTTCCACACCGAAACGCAGTTGAAGTGCCTCCCCAACAATCAGTCCAAGAAATGCCTGCAGCGGCCCCATCCCCCCGCCACACCCAAGCTTCAACGTTTTTTTTCTTTTCTTTTCCCCTTGAGACCTTCCCTGCCTGCCTACCTGGGTCTGTCGGAATTGTTTGGGGGGTGGGTGATATTGAGATATGTAGATTGAAATGACAGAATACGAAGAGCTAAAATTCTACAGGAGAGCTTGCACTGAGGGGACCTGTTTTGTGACCAGTTAGGCATCCTCCCCCCCCCCCCCCCCCCCCCGGGGGGGGGGGGGGGGGAGACATGGTAGTGGTAGTAGTGTACCCTTGGAAAATATCTCTGGTTTGGTCTGTCGCCTCCCTAAGTAAGGTAGTTTGGAATATCTAGTAGTACATTCAAACGAAGCCTTCCCTTGCCCTCCGGCCTCCCCTTGAAAATAAACCCAGCCTGGCCCTCCCTCCCTCGTTCTTCTTACTTGATCTCTCTTCCTCCATCTCTTGCCAGTTGTTCACCGTGTACGAATAAATACCGACTTTTGAGAATATATCCACTACATAATCTCGGGATCGGATGCGCTCACGGCCCTTGCGTTCAGATCCTAAGACAGAGGAGAATTTTCACCTTATTTTAATTGTGCTATAGCTACTTTTCACCTATTAATTTAACCCGTTATTAGTACTACTATTACATTACCACCTCTTCTACTGCTGCTATTCTTCTTTTACTTCGTTTGTCTGGGTGTCTATCAAAACACCAACCAAACCCACCAGAACTCATGACTACCATGATGGCCATGATGGATCAGCATGCGATGTTTGCGACTGGATACTACGAGCTGCCTTCGCCTTCATACACATCTATGGAGGAGAGCAAGTCATCGTTAATATTGCAATCAACTGTATGTGTTTGTTTATCTGTTTATTTATTATAAAATCTATGATTATAGTTTTGTTTACACATTCCTCCCCCAGTTCGCGCCGCCGAGTAAACAAAACAGTACGACACAACGCGATGGCGACGAGAAGTCGTTCTTACTACTATCACTGAAGGCACGTACACATATTGTTATTTTATATCCCTTGATATGGTGGAAGGGTGCCGGGCGTTATCTGTAATCGTAGACCTTTATCGCGCCGCATATGATGGCCCCTCTACCCGGTTTTGAAGCGGTGATGCTTTTTTTTCCCTGCCTATGGCGGGCTGAACACAGCATCTTTCTTGTGTTTTTATGATTGTGCTGCGTTTTAGTTGGCTCTTGCCTTATCTTATCTTACCCTTTGAGGACTCCATATATATTCCTCGCTCTTATAAGTAATTTCGTAGGCGAAATCGTCGTCCCATACTGACTCAATATCCCCAGGCCTCGGATGAAGACGAATATATCACGCCCCTGCCTTTATATACACCTATCGACGAGCACCCACCGCCCGCTTATACCAAGGATATCGAGGACGAGGTAGCGACTAGCCATATTCTAACACACAAATCATTGCACACGTATCCCGAGAGATCGAGATCGTCAGCATCATTATTCGGCGGAGGATTATATGGTGTGCGAGAACGGGCACCCAAGAGGAGGGCAGCAAAGGGCTCGTCATCCGCGAAGAGCGCGGATAAGAAAACGACTGCTAAAGCGACGACAACTAGAGGAAAGATTAGTGGCTCAGGAGGCACAAGTGGTGCTGGCGACGATGAGGACGAGAAGAAGAGAAAGAAGGATGAGGATCGGAAGAAGAGGGAGGAGGAAGAGCTCGAGAAGCTGAGAAAGGAGGAGGAGGAAGAGAAGAGGAAGGAGGAGGAAGCGGCTGCAGAGGAGGAAAGGTTACGCTTGGAGGAGGAAGAAAAGGAGCGACTCCGACTGGAAGAGGAGGAGAAAGAGAGACTGAGGTTAGAGGAAGAAAAACGAATCGCCGACGAAATCGCGAACAGCACTAATGCATGGGGTAATAATGAGGAGGAGGAGGAGCAAAATACCGGAGGTGGGTGGGGCTTCTTAGGTGGGAGGAAGAAGAAGGAAGTCAAGACAAAGGTTTGTTTCCGATCATTGACACCAACTTTTAGCGTAATAAACGCTTATTAGAGCCTTGGAAATGCAGAAAGTCGCGCCAGCACCAGCACCAGCACCTCCACCTCCACCTCCGCCCGCACCTACACCACCAGTTATAGAAGTAGCACCTGCTCCCCCACCACCGCCGACGCCGCCCCAAGAAGAATCGGTACCTGGTGGGTTTGTCGAAGCCGTAGAAGTCGTCCAAGAGGTCCAGGAGACACCGAGGGAGAAAGAAAGGAGGGAGAAAGAAAGGAGGGAGAAGGCGGAAAGAAGAAGAAAGAGAGAGGAGGATAGACTCGACAGACTCACCAAGGGATTGCCAGCGAGGAAGTCAAGGGTATTTATTAAATGACCATCCAATCGATAAGCAAATGCTAATCATTATCTATCGTTGGTACTGTAGAGGGAAGCAGAAGCAGAGGCCGCTGCAGCAAAGACAGTCGTAGAGGTTGTTGAAGCACCAGCGCCCGCACCCGCACCCGCACCTACACCGGTAGAAGCAGCCCCTGCACCGGAACTGCCGGTGGAAAGTGACGAAGTTGTCTCGCCAAAAATAGACGTCGATGATATTGATGACAACGAGGATAATGTCAGTCCAACAAACAGCGCGCCCAAATTATCCGGATTCGGTGGGATCGGTTTGGGCTGGGGAAGATTAGGTCTTGGCCTCACAAAGTGGGGTGCCGCCTCACAAGGTAGTGACTCCACTTCTCCAAATGGTTCTGCGATTGGGTCGAAGAAAACAACACCCGTCGACGAAACACCGAAGGATCTATTCCCCCCAACGAAGAAAGAGCTGAGCGAGAGCATCGCAAACCAGAAAAAGGTCGAGCCTGAACCACTGCCAGAACCAGAGCCAGTGGTTGAAGTGGTCGAACCTGAACCGGAGCCGGTCAAGGATGAGATTCCAGAACAAGCTACAGAGCCAGTTATCATGCCACAAGAAGCGCCCGTCGAAGACGATTTCGGTTACGTCAAGAAGGGGAAGAAGGGGAAGAAGGTAGAAAAGAAGCCTACAAAAGCTGCTGCGACAGTTCCGGAGGAAACCGAGAAGAAGAAGACAGGAAAAGTTGCTTCGCCAGTTACAGAGGAAACTGAGAAGAAGAAGACAGGAAAAGTCGCTTCGCTTGCGGGTGTCTATGAGAAGCGCGCATCCACCATCAAGAAGGATGTGGTGGAGAAGCCGACCAAGTCCAAATCCAGATCAACTGCAATCCCTGTTGAGATACCTACTGAGCCCGAGGTGCCTGAGCCTGAGCCAGTAGTCGAACCTCCAGCAAAGGAACCAAAAGACGAGCAAGAGTCCTACTACGGCCCAGGCTATGAGAAGGTAAAACAGCGCAAATATGCCGACACGCCGGAGGTGAGGTATGCCGGTAAATCCAATATAGGATATGTTCCCACCCCCGAAGAGACACCATACGTGCCAATTCCCAAGGAACCAGCATATGCGCCAGTACCAGAAGGACCTAAGTACGCTGAACCTAAGCAATTCGAATATGCGACGCCCAATATTTGGAGTCTCGGCAAGAAGGGTAGGAGGAATGGAAAGGCCGAAGTAGCTACAGCTCCCGCGCCTCCTCCACCAATCGTTGAACGAGTCCCAACACCCGAGCCCGAACCAATTCCTGATCCAGTTGTCGAACAACCTGAACCCGAACCCGAACCCGAACCCATTGTTGAACCCGAGCCCGTGCCTGTTCCAGAACCAGTGAAGCCTACAAAGCATGAAAAGAAGCAGAAGAAAAAGAAGGGTTGGTTCTTTGCTGAGCCTGAGGAATCAGAACCCGAACCAGTCCCGGAACCGCCGGTTGAAGTTGTTCCCATTGCGGAGGAAGTTCAGGTGACGGAGGCAGAGCCCGAGCCGGAAGAAGAAGAGCCAGGGGCAGAGTTCGTTGAAGCTGTCGCAGAGGTGGTCGATGCTGAACCTGAGCTTGAGATTCCTGCCATTGTCGAGCCCGAAACGGCTCCCGCCCCTGGCCCCGAAGCTAGAAGAACAAGAAAAGATGTCAAAGACGTCTCAGTCTGGAGCCTACTCGCACCGCCGAAGCCGAAGAAGAAAAGCCCAGGCCCCGAGGTTAGCATTGCCCCCAATTGCTCCCTTTCTCCTTCTCCCCCCACCTCCCCGCAAGACAGCGAGTCTGCAGAGAAGCACCAAGCAGGCAAAGACGGTGATGTTGACACATCTGTTTCTGTAAAGAAGCCCAAGGAAAGAAGACTTTCAGCGGAGGTGGTGGACGCCAATGGGGGCCCAGTCAAGACCGTTGGGCTCCGCGAACTGTGGAAGATGAACAAGGAGGTGGAGAGGAAGAAGAAGAACGCAAGAGGCCTTTCGCCTGTCGAAAGATGGCAGGCCGATGTTGTGCCCGAAATGCCCCCAGACGAGGACGAATATAATAGCACAGAAGAAATCGAGAAGGACGGTCACGTGGACGCCGCTGGTTCGTCCCACCCACCCGCTGCGCTGTGTTGTGACGTGTTCCATGCTTCGTGGCTGTCGCTCCCATTGGCTAATATGTGTGTTCCCTGCAGATGCCGATATTCCGCTGTCATCTCCCCCTCCAACAATGCTTCCAATAGAGTCCTATCTTGTCCCCGATACCCCTATCGCTGCGCAAGCACCGTCACCAGTCTGGAAAGAGGCACCACCCCTTTTCGCACCAGTCTCTCGCAAGTCTTCTTCAAAGAAAGACAGGAAAAAGAGTAAGAAGCTCCAAGCGAGGCTAATTGAAAAGGAAGATGGATTTTCTAACCTTTCTGCTTCAGGATCTGATCCAACTGTCGAACTGCAAGCCAATCCGATTGTCGAGGAGCCAGAGCCAGCTGCTGAACCCGAACCTGAGCCGGTACTAGAGCCTACCAAGCGAGAGACAAGGCAAAGGAAGAAGACCTGGGGTCGGTTTTTCGAAACGGTAGACGAACCAGAGCCAGAACCGGTTGTGGAACCTGAGCCCGAGCCAGTGGTTGAAGCGCCCGCAGTCGAGCCAGAGTCAGTGGCCGAGGAACCAGAACCGATCGTCGAGGCAGCACCCGAACCTGAGCCTGCTAAACCTCCGAGGAAGGAGCGAAAACAGAAAAAGAAGGGCTGGTTCTACACTTCACCCGAAACTGATACTGAGCCCGAGCCAGTCGTTCAAGAACCTGTGCAAGAGCCTGAAATTGAACCTGCGCCAGAGCCAATTGTTGAGCCGGAACCAGCGCCAGCGCCAGAACCAGTGAGTAGGCTACCGGTGAGGTCCAATAGAAATACCAAGAAAGGCTGGATCTTTGGAGGGTCTACCCAATCACCAGTGTCCGAGCCACCAACACCATCAGTGTCCGAGCCTGTTCCTGAACTCGAATCAGAATCGGCGGGCGAGCCAGAATTAGAGCAGGAAAGTGCTGCACGAACACCTGAGCCCAGTGAACCTGAAGCGCAATTTGAAGAAGGTCAAGAGGGAGAATATTCACCAACACGTTTGGCAATCGGCTGGCCTGAAGAGAAAGCACGATCAAAGGAGCGGCGCCATAGCCAAAAACACAAGGACCTAAAGGAAGGAGCTGTTGAACCCAAGAAAAAAGAAAAGCGCCGAAGTCGCAAGCTTGACGATCCAAGTGCAGCACCTTCCTCGACATCAAGGCCACCTTTGATGGAAAGGAGAGGAACTTACGCACTTTCAGGAGCACCCAAAATGGAGAGAAGAGGAACCTACTCCAGCTCAGCACCTTCAATGGAGCGAAGGAATACTACAAGTTCTACCAACGACGATGCTGAAAAGGCAGCCCGTAGAGAACGTCGACGCTTGAAGAAACTAGCTGAGGAGGAAGCAGAAAAAGTAAGATTGGCAAAGGAAGCAGAGGAAAGGGAACATGCAGAGAGGGAGCAGCGACGCGCAGAGAGACGAGAAAAACGAGCAAGAAAAGAAGCTGAGGAAAAGGAAGCTAGGTTGGCCGCTGAAAAACAGGCTTTGGCAAAGGAAGCAGAACGTGCGGCCCGGGAAGAGAAACCAAAGCTCGAGAGACGCAAGTCATCAAAGAGACATACCCATATCGAACCTATCATTGGAGCAGTAGAGGAGACCCGCGAAGAAAAGGAAGCCCGAAGGGAAGCACGTAGGGCGAAGAGAGCAGCTAAGGAACATGGTTCGGGTACTGGCAGTGGCAGTCATGGAAAATCCAATAGAAATTCCATCAACCATGCAGCACAACTTGCGACAGCCATGAAAGGCATTCCGCACTCGGCAGACCCTTACCCACACGAAGGCGAGCGCAGTGATCATTATCAAAGCGCGTACGAAGAAGAAGCCCGCAGACGAAGAAGGCTGGAGCGTCACAACATCAAAAAAGCCCAGAAGGCGGGCATCTGGACCAACGGCGAAGCACTTAGTGGTTCCGTCACCCCCGAACGAGTTCCTACTGAAGAGATTAACGGTGTCAATTTCTCTTCAAGCACATCGCAGGACCTTGCACAAGAGGAAGCTATCAGAGAACGCCGAAGGAAGCGGAAGGAGGCCCGAAGGAGTTTGCACGAGACCGTCGTTGATGAGGACGAAGCGAAACGCCTTAAGAAGCTTCAAAGGAAGGAGGAGAAGCGTGCGAAAGAGTTGAAGGACATGAATGTGGTGAAAGGAAAAGATGCGAAGATGTCCGGTGCCAAGGAAAAGGTGGTGAAGAACTCTGAGGACAGAGCCTTGAAGCGAGAGCAGAGGGCGAAGAGGCGGGCGGAAAGTGAGAGATTCAATGGCGCGTTGACTGAGAATGAGGGCTCATCCAAAAACAAATGGTGGAAGAAGCTTTTGGGTTAAGTGGACCTTGTTGGAGCGATTTTCCTATCTTTTATTATCGTTATTACCTGTTTATTTAATGTTAGATACCTTCGGGACAGTTGCCGGCCAAATCTTGGGGTTTTTCTTTTGTTACGATAGGCTGTATATGATTATCAGTTTAATGGCCGTCTTTTTTTAGCTTTCCTGGGGGTGTATTTTTATATGCATTTGGTTGTATCATGGCTGATGCATTTTATGACTTTTTTTCTTCTTTTCATTCTTTGAAGGACAGCAGCGATAGGGAAGGAGTAAGGAGGAAAAATTACGAACTTTATGTTTCTTTTCAAGCAAAAGCTTTCCTCCCACACTTAGATGGTGACGTGTTGCAGATTTGTGAGAAAATACCGATCTGTGGGAGCGCATCTGATTTGGCGCGCAAGACACACCCGTTGTGTACGCCTGCAGATTCGACAAGCGGTTTCGGCGGTTTCCTTTTTGCTTTTTGTGTACCATCATCACAAGAATATACGGATGTCGAAACGGAGGGGATGGCGGATTTAGATACCCGAACAAAAGAAAGATTGGATCTCGTCGTCAAAGTGAAAATTGCCAAGCCCTGCCATCCCCTCCGCCTAGTCTTATCTATTTATCGTAACATTTGAGCCTGCTGACACAAGTCAATTTAATAGCTCTCTATAATTCGTGTTAGGTCGCACCTTCTGGCCGGCACATGCTATAATAACATGTCAATTTGTCGCTAAACACGAGTCTTAATGAGATAGACCGGAACGATGAAGCATAAAGACCCCGGCCCATATATAATAGCCCAATTGGTGTACGACCATAATCTTCAGTAGGTATTCCCATGAGCTCGAGAGGTTATGTTAGATTTCTGGTGTTTCTTGGGTTGTCTGGCCCAACTAGTCAATGAGGAGGAGGGGCTCTGGCCTTCTTCTACTTGTAGAATTGCGGAGGCGACTGGATGACGCTGAGGGATCGCCATTTTCAGTGCTACATGATCGGCCTTTAGGACTTAGTGGATCAATCAATCAAATTCTTGCGATTTGAAGCAATGAGTGGCTCTCCATAAACCTGTTTTCTCACTATTTTTGTTGCAGGATATGTGACCAATTTTTTAACCTTCCTACTCGCCATGTCCAGTCCAGGCAGTTTGTTACATAAGTGTCTTATTGGTCGAGTGATAATTCATGAACTAGTCTGCATTGCCACCTGATAGAGCCGGAGTATACGTGCCAGATTCTACAGCGGGACCAAGCCGATGACTATTATTTATAAAAATGAGTTCGCTCCTTCTTCTCTATATTCAATCGATTCTGTTACCCAAAGTACATTTTGCGTGGTTAAGGGACCTCCGCTTTGTTGTCAAAAGAAAAAAAGGAAAAAAAAAGGTTGTAGGCTGTACGTCCCGCGGCCACTTTACTATCAATTAGAAACCTCTTTCATGCATCTCAGTGGCCTCCACGATCGTATATACTCATAGGAAGAACTCTTCCTAAATTAGCATCAATCTCCACCATTCTCATTCTGCCACGTCTGCACGTCTCGGCCGGCTATTCATGGCGGTAACTGGCCCATACTTGATCAAAGTGCTTCATGATATGTGCTCTTGAACGATCAATATGATTTGGTGACACGTTTCCGCCAGCTAGGCTTACTTCTGCACGTCTGACACCGAATAATATCTGCTCAATTGCCCATCATGATTTTTATGCGCATGAGCTTCTCAGAACTTGACTCTGCCCCACCTGACCCCCAAAGCTCTTATCCGGGAATATCTAGAGGCTCGAGTACTCCTATCTTGATTGGTGGAATGTGTAGTTAGACTGGTATCTACCCACCTACATGTAGTTTTATATCACCAAAACTCGACGTTCTCTGCAGTGGCAGTATACTAGACTTTTCCCACCGCTAAACCAATAACTACATGTAATTGTAGTGCCAGAGAGTCAAGAACCGATCCGGTATGTACTCAGACGCAAGCCGAGGGGCATGAAACCACTATATAGGCACTATAAAGCTTATTTCAGAATGCCAAGCTAGCGCCCTCGAAGTGACTGCCGTTTTCTTAGGGCTTGAAGCGGAAATAGTAGGTCGGTTAGCCCGCACATTCATCTTCAATTTCACCATATATATGCGTCTTGACCTTCTCTTACATGTACTTTATCAAATACCGATACGCTCTATCTCTGAGTGGAGGAAGAAAATGCTCAGATTTACCAGTCATCGACACTTTTTAGTAAAAGCCAGAACCAGAAAGGTTTGTAACCATAGTTTATCACTGGCTACTGACAGAATGCCGAAGGTTTTTTTCTTTCCCCTCATCATTATTGACTATACAGAAGTGTCTTATGAACACATGTATATATGTGGACTAATTCCAGACCAGGACACTTTGGGCTCAACCACTCTTTTGGAGTATCATGAGTTTTTTTATCAAGACACCCTGAGAAAGGATAAGTCACTGCTTCTCGATTCCTCAATGGCAAAATCTAATGTGGAGTTCATTCAATCTCTATGACCTCAATCTTTCCGTCATTGTGGCTGATTGAGTATTTTGATGCGCACACCCCGAACTCGAGCATCACATGCAAAGTGCCCCTAGGACAACTAAGCTTAAGCTGTTTACTGAAAGTATACTCAGTGAGTTATTACGATTGTTTTATTTCTATGTTCTTTAAATCTTGATATCTATCTCTAGCCATAGCCATTTTGGCCATCTTCAGTCATGTTGTATCACTCGACTCCTGGCCAACTTTCATTCGATTAATATATTGCTCTAAACTAACAATGATAAGATAGAATATACGTTCACTGTTTAGCATTTGGTTTTTTTTTTGACCTAGTTCTACGAACCTACCGCCAAACCACGTCAGAGTATTCTATTCTTGCCTCGTTTTAAAAAAACCACAGATATCTTCAGGCCAGATCATTCTCTCCACATCTACACTTTTATCATATCACTCTATCACATTGTTCATATTGACTACGAAAGGATGAAAGAACCAGAGAAAGGGCAGAAGTTTTCTCAATGCTGCTATTTTATTTTACTCCGACAAGCATCTACCAATCTTCAGCTGCATCGTTCAAAGCAGGAAGCTGTGCAAGAACCATTTCAACTGCCATCTCCCATCCAGAGACCCCGAACTTACTACACTAACTACCCACTTTTGGCACAATTTTTATAGCGATACTTGTGCCCAAAGCCGTAAAAAGGAAAGGGGGGGGAAAGGGTTTGACGATAGGATATGTGTGTAATGTGTACCAAAAAAGGCAGGGGGGGATTAAAACTATACACCGTATTGTACTGATTAGTACATGTAACTTCTTATACTTAGAAGCGGAGAGGAATGGACTTACTTGTAAGTTCCTTTTTCAACTAATTACTAACTTATTGCTTGAGGAGAAGGTCGGTTTTGGGGAAGAGGGTTGCATAACGTGACACCCAGTCCGCTGAGCACGTCGACCCTATCAATCCCGCCGTGCTCTCCCTAAAAGTAGTACCGGCTGTGCGGCATATCTGCCACCGAATACGAAGCTCGCGCAACTCGCAATACACGCGCCTACAACTGCAAATCTGAAAGCATCGGCCATAGATCGCGCCATGGCATTGATAACAATGGCTCTCATCTTTTCTGACAGCTCTGGCATCGTATTGTAGTTGATTACCCCGAGGGATAAGATGTAGCGTGGATCGATCTCTTCAGTAAGCCTTGGGAGGTATGCAAGCAGTGAATTGCTAATTATTGCCTGCACAAGAGGGATAGCAAGAATTCTGTGGTGTGTTAGTCTTGAGTATAGGAAGAGAGGATGTAGAATACATGCCCGCCAAGGTAACCAAGGTGAATGATTATCATGTTTGCCTTATAGACGTCCGAATTACTAACACAATTATTAGAATCACATCTCCACATAATACACCCTAAAACATAGGAATACGAAAACTTACTTGAACACAGCCGGTGTTACCGCAAACGGCATTTCTAGCGCCATCCCAACGCCAAACCCTGTCAAGAGCTGGTATCCGATTATTTCTTCCCATGTTGGCGTAATCCCCAGTCTCGACAGCATCAAACAGCCGCTTCCCGCTATAATTGTCGCCATTACGGTTACCGGGCGCTGCAGTTTGTTAGCACGAGCCGGGAGCTGGAGAGCATGCAATACATACAACAAATCTATATCTGTGTACCAGGAATGCGGAGAAAAAATAGCCCATTATGGCGGCGAGATAGTACAGCATGTTGAAAAGGCCGCTTTGCAGCGGCCCATACCCAACGATACTTTGGACGTATAACGGAATTAGATATGTATGCTACCAGCAGTATCAAGTCAGCTATAAACTCAGATTCACACCTTCTCTAGAGTTATATATATATATCACTTACAGAAACCAGAACTATTTGAAGTCCCAAAAAGCAAATCGCTCCCACAACAACATCTTTCGTGCAAGCAACTTCGAACGGCACTGTCCCCTTGTCGTCCAACCAAAGCTGCAGCAAGAAAAAGGATAAGAATGCCCCTAAAAATCCTAATGCTATGGTGATCGACTCGTTACCACCCCACGCGTTAAAGGTTCCTACCCATTGCAGTCCATAGACTGCAAGTGCCAACGAAGAAATCAGGAAAAGTGCCCCCAAAGAGTCTGGGTAAAGCTTTTTCAATCGTCGAGTGTACGACATATCTGGTTCATAGTCCCGCGAGTACCGCGGGAAGCTAAAGACCAGAAGGCATACGATAATCACGCAACCAATTGGTAGAGTTCTTACGATTGTCAGTGCTGCATTATATATAAAGGGATCCGAGAAGGAACCTACAGTAGGAAGCACATTCTCCAATTGTCCCTCTCCGCCAATGAACCGCTTATAATTGGACCAAGAATCGTGGATAGTCCGATAGCACTAGTAAAAATCGACGAAATCTGAATCCTCCTCTCGTACGGTTGGAAATACAACGATGCAATCCCCTGTGTCCCCTGGAGGATGCCTGACGCCCCAACTCCCGCAAGTGCACGGCCTATGATCACTGCTCTCGATGCTTGAGCCTTTAAAGAAACAAGGATGCCAACTAGGAGTAAATGGTGTTAGAATCGGATATATGCACACAAGAACAAGCGATGAAGTGTAGGCGGAATATTACTTTCGAAGATGATCATGCACCAGATATAGATTCTTTGCTTCCAACAGAGTCGAAAAACGGTCCGGAAAAACGGCTGAAGAATTGCCATGGGTATCAGGTACGCCGAAGCGTACCAACCCATATCTTCGTATGAGCCAAACTCAACGGTGATTCTGGGGATCGCATTCGCTATACATTCATCGATATATCAGCAACGATACAGGGACATATATAAATCAAGAATAGGAAATGATATACAACATACCCATTAAAGCCGCATCCAGTCCCACAACGAATAAACTCAGCCACAAAACAATGGTAGCTTTTCTGCGTTCTGCAACAGTGGGATCCCAATCTGGCTCACAGCAGCCTGGAGAGGTAGCGCTCAAAATGCCAAACGCTGAGACCGGTTGGCTTGAACCCATCGCTGGAATTGAAGATTCCATACACTTGAACCAGAATGCTTTTGTCCATGCGGTGATAATTGCCATCATTGCGAGAAACCTAGCAGGAGGGGAAGAAGGGGTAGGGGGAGCCGGCGGGGCCTGACCAGGCATCGCGTTCATCTCACTTTGTTCATCACCTTCGTAGATGGTACTCATACCATCTGGTTCCCGACGCCGGGCGCTCAAATCATTTAATTCGGTTCCAGATTCGTTCATGTCGAAGAAAAACTTAATGGGTTTTCAAAGAAAATCAAGTTCCAGGCTTGAAGTTTGAGTCTGAAGGTGGGAAGAAGATAAACCAAGGGCGGTTGCAGATGAACTTCTCTCCGTGCACAGATGTTAGAGTCTTGCGACTGCTCTTTTCCCTGGGTCTAGCTCAAACTCTACTGATCGGGGCATGGGCAGATTTGACCTACTTACGTGCGGGGATCATTGGGCTGCGACGGGGGGCCGGGTATTCACATTATACATGGCCCGCGTGTGTGGTATATATTCTCATTGTGGGGTGACAGACTATGGCGAGCGGCAGGACGTTTTTTATTGCTCGGTCACAAGATCTATCAAATGAGCAATCATTATCGATCCCTTGGTCGATCACACTTTATCAACCAAGAGGTTGGGCAGACCTCAATGCCTTTTCTCTGATATACATACATGTATATCCACATCATGGGTCCCACATAGCAACCTTTACAGGTCATAAGTGCGTCTATTATGCCGGGGAGATTCTCTCTTAACACAAAATTTGATTGCCGCTTAACCCCACCCTCCATCACTTGACCATCACCTCTCTCTGTGGGTGGACTAAAACGGCATTCCCGAATAATTTCTATCATCATTTGTACTCCATCTTTGATTGTATGAAACTTCATCTGATTATCTCATCACCAGCGCTGCCCCTGGGCTTGCTGCGTGAACATAGCATCACGTACAATCACTCGGCCCCATTTCTACTCCTCAGAGACAAAACACATTTCGCAACGCGGGAATCTCATCATCATGGCCCTAAGAAAACTGCTCAAGATCTATGGAAACAACAGGCATTCACATCCCATCCGTCTACAGTGGTTCATCACACACACACACATGTGGTTAGAATCACACTCCATCACTCGCACAAATTCTGTTCTTCAATAGAGATACCCAAATCTCTGAATATCTCCACAAACTCCCATTTTACAATCACAGTGTCAAAAGTGGTGTAGTAGGACCGTGACTTGTCTCGCTCATGTCATTGTGGACGGGCGGGTGGGTCACTACGTGCGACATGGTGTTGACGATGTGGGCTCTCATTTTACGCTAGCTTGGCATGTCCCGGAGCAGGAATGTTTTCTACACCAACACACTTCCACCTCCTGGGAGGCTCTGCTACGCCTTGGCCAAAAAAGAAAGGGGGGGAACAAAAAGCACTATTTCCATCTTCAGGACCATAGTCCGCCCACCCACCCAGAATGCTGAACCTCCTTGGAGTACATGGTATCCGCGAGTAGTGCAGCGTTTCAACTACACCGCCTGCCAGTCTGAACCAGCACCAGGGCCCCCGATTCCAAGCACAATACTTTTCTGAATCTCGGTTCTCCCACTCCTCCACCTCCGCCCCTTCTGACTCTTACCGGTACCTAGGTTTCCGACACGACACGAGTACCACGACTTCCCCCAGGACCTGGCCAGCAGATACGGTAAAAGCTTCGACGATGAGACAAGAGGTCATCATCGAGTCTCAGAACTGGGTGAGCCCTACTCTGTACATACCAAGCACTGACAGGCAATAGAAACTAGAAACAATACCCAAACCTCCTCTATGGCGGAACTCGCAGTTGGGGGCTACGTGCTACTAAGAGAAAGTGATAACGGCCCGCACTACTGGTTGGATGGCACAACAACAAATCGCGCTGGGGCCGGATGGTTTTAAGAGGCTCCTTGTTCTTGCGGTGTTGAGTGTAAGAGAATACTAGTGCAACATGGCCTTGGCAACACCGACACAGGGTTAGGTGTACCGCAGTATTACATTCGAAATCATTGACCTACTGAGACACCCGATTGACTGTCGTCTTACTCTCTGGGACTCGCAGCTACAATCACCAACCAACGAGATTCATGATACGTAAACTGACTTTATATTTTCATGACCGAAGCCGCGTTCAGCGCAGCTTCGTCTAGAGGACATCATATATACAACAGCAATCTACATAATCTAGCACCCGCCGAGCACCGTCGCTCGGAATTATAATCCAAACCCCCAAAACACCGATTACATTACGCCGAAAGAAAACCTGACAACGCCTCACAAAAGAAGTCGACAAAAGAAATCGCCAACCAAAAGAAACCCGTCGTCACCCTATAGCTAAATCGCCCTTCCGCCCCTCCACCCACCCTGCTCCTCGCCGTTCGTATAATTCAACTCCCCCAACCACACCGGCGGCACCACCGTCGTCATCTCCCTCTCCCCTACCTCCCCGCTCCAAATCCTCGGAATATCCGCCTGCTCCGACCTCGGAGACGCCCAACTCTCCTCCGTCTCCCCCAACCACACACTCGGCACACCCGCAACCCCATACCCACTCTCCAGGTCGCCTCTCCACAGACCCTGAGTAACCGAGTGTCTGATCATGCCCGTCTCACTGCCATCCGCACTCTTCTTTCCCTCGCTCGAGTAGGAGGCTGACGATGGCGGCAGCTTTGAGCTGTTGCCGCTTACGTCGCTGCCATTCTTACTGCTCCTCAACCAGGACGCGCTGCCGAGGAAGGTGTCGCGGATCACCGGGAAGGCGCGGGAGAAGAGGGGCTTGAGGCCGGGGCCGCAGGCACTGACGAGGGCGAGGGTCTGCTCGAATTCGGCGGAGACAAAGACGGGGACGAAGGTCCAGTTGAAGTCGTATGGGTTGCTGTTTGTCAGCTGTTTGGCGATGTAGACGGCTTTGCAGAGTGATGCAATGCAGGCCCTATTTTTGCGGTTTTATTAGTATCTTGTCAGGTATTTAGAAGCAGGGCTAGTGGACTTACAAGCTACCAATGGAAAACAGGCCGCTGACAATAATTCTCTGGCGCTTCGGTAGGCGCAGGTTCCAGACAACCCTCATTGGCACTACCAAGCATGCGATATCCACGCCCACACCCAAAAAGCCCATAGCCAATGCCGACATCTGGAGGTCAACTGCCAGGCTTGTGCTGATGCATTTACTCAGGATCAAGACCGGCAGATTCCACGTTCTGAACTCCGGCGTACACATAAACACGGCGGGCAGCATCGTGGCGGGCCACACGAGGCAGTTGGCAACCTGGATGGCAATGATGACCTTGCTGGTCTTCGTGTCGGAGGGCCCAATGAGCGACTTGATGAAGCAGAGGATGCTGAAGCGGGTGAGGAATATGCCCGTGAGCATGGTGATGCCCAGAACGTATTGCACGACGTACCACTCGAGGATCTCGGCGGGCGTGCAGTCGTAGATGTGTTTTCCGAGACCAGCATATCGGACGGCGTACATTATGACTAATGTGCTACCCAAGTGTGAGAACTATTTATCTCGTGTGTTAGTTTTCTAGATGCATTCCTTGCATGTGGTAAGTATTGGGTAGACATACGAATGCGGGTATAATAAGCCAATCGTCAAGCTTGAAACTCCGGACTATGAAGAGCCGCGAGTATAATCGAGGAATAACAATGAAGAAAGTGAGGATGATATTGAGGATAGACAGCACGGTCATCAAGGAACCCCGATTTGGGGGGACGTAGTAAGGGTTCAGAGTTTTAGGATGAACAAAACCCGGGTCGACGAAGAACTGCCATGCATTTGGATTTGACAAGAACGCATCTGTCATTGCTTTAACAGGCAACCCCATTTTTGCGGTTGTGATAGGAAAGATGATGACAAAAAAGAATAAAGGCTTATTGGAAATGCGTGATATAGGTCTGCAACGACAAGTTTGAGAAAACTTATAAATCTCCAAACTATCCTTATTGCCTGACTCCAGGCTCCGATGAGGGAGATGTAGCAGGTGTCTTATATCAATCAACATTTAGGTTTATCATTCCATTACGAGAGAATATACATAAGTTCTCCATATTTGGGAGACGGGATTAATGAATTGTGACTTCTATGCCTCCTCAGCCTCCTTATGCGATACCTCTAGGCGGGGCATCGAGTAAGACGGGTGGGTGGGGATTGCTTACACCGAGGTGGTGTGGGGTAGGACCATGCATCAAGAATGATATCAGAGTCGAGTTCAACGACCACGATAATAAGAATTCCGCAGTTGCGGCGCTTATTGCGAGATCTTCTGTGCAGCTTTTCTCGGTTCTATCGAATTTCCTTTCTTCCATAAGCCGATAAGCGGCCAGTTGCGTGCTTACAGCTGCGGCTGCAGCACACTGTGCTAGCTGGACTCAGACAATAGACTCCACCTTCGTTGACGGAGAATACCATATTCATATTTCACAGCTTCCCCATCAGAATAACCAATGGGACTTTGGAAGTACTAATGCTGTGCTACTGCAAAGTGGGCTATTAGGTTTGTCAAAAAAAAATCTAAAAATATATGTGGGGATGTTTATTAGAGTTCTTGGCGGCCTGTTTAGGCTGAGATAAAGAGGCGATAGCCCAGCCCTACAACAAGGAACTCCCCAAAACGGAACCCACTTTCTTAATCGGTCTTTCTATATATTCTGTATTTGGCCTAGTCGCAGGCGCAGACGAGTGACGCCGCATGAGTGCGGTGGAGGAGTGGAGCCTGAGGATTTCAAAATAGAAACATCCCTGAAACACCAGAGCCTCAAGGGGTAGGTAAGGGAACTTCCGTCGAGTTTTATGTCGGTTCTTTCTTCTGTGCCTGATTACCACGTCGTGCATCATGGGACAGCATCTTCACCAGATTATTATGGAATTTCGACCTCTCCAGAGCGATGAACCTTTGTGCGCAAACAAGGAAGCGACAGTGCCGTAGCAATTGTGCCTCAAGACACCACCTAGTGACATACAATTGAACCCGTTACTCGAATGGAAGAACCATGGTTCAAAAACGTCAACCGGCGCAGCATAGAACGCCTTGGCAGAGACTAATATTTCTCGTCAAAGTGAGAAACATGAGTACCTACATGTCTTCACTTAAGATGCGAGTGACGCACATGCACGGCCTTAACTAGTGGAATAAAGTTTCTCCATGTGCCGGACGACGGGCAGAAGGAGGCTAATGTGGATTAATCAGATCAGGCCATTAGCTGGTGCGAGCTCTTCTGAAAACGGAGCTGGTCCGAGCATACCTAAAAATGGTATTGCTGCGTAGCAGGGTACATGATGTAACTACTCGTAAGTTCATAGCGTTTCCGAACACGACCAATATTGCATGACATACAAAAAGGTGGATTTAGCGCTTTTTATCTGGTATGCAATAGCAGTCGTGTTCGGAAACGTCATGAATTTACGAGTACATGTATCTACTAACTCAACCACAACTAAAGTATTGGGCGATCGATATATGACCTCCGTATTATAGACTAAACATGGCGTCGATGCGAAATCCCAGAATGTACATGTATGTTTGTAACCGCACGTGGTCGTGGTCGTGACCGAAAATAAGAAGCAAGCCCGGTGGACCTAAGAAGTGGAGTATGATGATGATGCCTTAGAAGCAATAATCTTTTAGGAGGATAAGTACACTCATATCTACGTGTCCAACAATTAGTAATAGTATATATAATAGATTTATACATCCCCCCTCAGTTGATACTCACCCTTTGTAAGTACACGCATGTTTCTAAAAGCTGCGATACATCCATGTATCTACTCACGCGTCCAGTGAAATAAGTGCAGCCAGGCGAACAAACTGGACGATATAATGCGAAGCCGACCTCACTCAAAGAAATGCCGAGGTCCCAGAATATCGTAGGTTAGGTGTGAATCTATATATGTTCTTGGTGTTTGTTTTATGGATTTATGTGAGTTTGTTGTCCCTTCCATAATTTCTCTCCGTGTTCGGTCCACTAGCAGCCGCATTGCGCTTTATGTCTTACTTGATGTTTGATCAGTAATATTAATTATCTAAGATTTTATAGACTTACCTTTTAAAACAGTTCTGAAATTGGTATATTTCCATATCATTGGGGCTTCCTTAGTCAGTGAAGTAACTACATGTATATCATGTGCATATACTAGAAGGCCGGTTCAATGGAGCCTCTCCTTACAGCGTGGGGAGGTCTACCGGTTTTCAGTTCCTCGAGATTACACGACCTGGTATTCGCCCAGGTACATACTTAGCACCTCAACCACACCACCGAGTCAACAGCAAACAATTTAGAAGTGCACAAAAACATGTATTGCTACGGAGGCACCGCGTTCGAACGCAATTTTGCTGCTCTCAAGCTGGATCAAAGTACGTAGCTACCGCAGAAGCTTTCTACCACGGGATATATAGTGTTTGCTAACATGAGATGAGATTGAACTAGAAGCTATTGAACTTTTCACCTCAGGCCCTACGGGCAAAAGACATGCACATGTCTTTCTACCAAAGCCTCCGGATCCATCTTCGCAAGTCCAAAAGAGCAATCCAAACCTAAAATAGACGTTTACAACCCTTATTTTACCGATGATGGATACGAATCCTCTCCGAAGAAGAAAAGGAAGTTGTCTTGCAGCAAAAGTGAAGCGTTCATCACACCAAACATGCAATTAAAGGATTATCAATTAATTGACCAAATCATCACTCCAGACAGTTGCGACCCCAGCTATAGCCCCGTATCTGGGTCTTACCTGATAGGAAAAGTGTCAATACTTTCCGAATATAAAAGCCCAGGATTTACAGAATATGGCATCAGCCTTGTCTTCGAAGTCCGGCTCAGTACCGTTAACCTGGTGTGGATCTGGGGCCTTGCATAAAACGGACAAAAATACACACTCAAGGACAATGACATCACTCATATACGGATCTGTAAGCCTGTGTATAATCCGTACGATGGTTCATGGTGCCTTATCTCCATCGCCAAAACTTACCACGCTAGGCGCGAGGGGTCAGAGAATCACCACGACGAAGGGTGTATCGGGATTTCTCTGGGTATTTGAATGACTAGTTCATTCTTTGAGATTCTATCTCGTCCGATTCGGATCCGTGGTCTAGGAGAATTAGGAGGATACAGGTGCTCTAGTGACGTTTCTTTGGGGTCCTGTCGACGAGTTTTCTTACCCTATACTGTATTGAGCAGTGAGGTCTGGATAGGCCGGATTCGCAGACACTTTTTCCTTATTGTATTTTCAGCCGCTGATAGACTACCCTTCTGTATTGGTAGAAATTGGGCCTGACAAGAAAGAGTTATTTATAGAAGAAAAAAGCGGTTACATAGATACTTTCCCATTTTTTGATAGAAAGGGATTGCAAATACACCTGTTATTGCCGACAAACTCCCTATAGCACTTTTCTCTCTCACCCACTGACAAAAGAAATCGTGTTTGTATTGTACCCCAAATGATACTGACAAAAGTCGTTTTCATATATTTGGTAGGCACTCGCTGACCGCTGACATCCAGATCTCATTGCTCGCTATAGTAGTACTTCATAGTCGATAAGTCAATAGAGTCGAATTGATTTCAACAATTTAACCCCCCATAATGCATTGAACGGCGCATATAAATTCCCGGAGATGGAAAATCTGATGCCCAATCTCATAAGCGTAGACCACCATATACGTTATCCCCCCCTCTCCCAGTTTCGGCTATACAACATGTACTAATAAACAAAGTTTCCCTTTAAGCCTCCCCACAGCTCACCGTTGCTTATCCCTTCTCAGGCAAATCAATCCTACGTATGCAATAACCCTATACAAAGTCCCAATAGCCAACATCATTCCGATATCTACTGCATACCTATTAAACGTGTAGCCTGTAGTCCTCGATACATGCTCCACATCGTACAAGTACGAAAACAAATCCACATTTTCTGTGAAATATGCTTCGACAAACCAAGTTGCTGGAGATATTCTCCAAAACCATTCTAAGTGCCATCCCTTTACATCGGCAAGGCTAGGTCCGTAGCTAAAGGAAGGGATTAGAAATCTGAACAACCAATGTAGGAAGTGTAGGTATTCTAGATCTTACCCGCATGTAATTCCAGTGATTAAGCCGGCAATAACAGACACAAGCGCTCCATTCTCACGTCTTGTGATCATAGACATACAGGATGCAAGCCCGTATATACCTATCGATGTCCAATTAATAAGAGGTTTCCTACGGAGGTATGTTGGGTACACATACAATAAAAGTACATCATACAGCAAAGATAATTGTGTCCAAAGTCCATAGCTGGTGTCCCCAACAGACTGAACAGGGACACAAAATGCAGTGCCGAGAATGCTATTCTGAAAAAGGTTGACAACACCTTTCCAACATAGTAAGCAGAGCGACTATGTCCCGATGCAGTTTCTCTCCAGTAAATTTGTTCTAAAATGACAAAACAATGATTAGCCCAAGTTCGCATCAAGGCGGCAAAAAGGAGGTGAATATATACTCTCTTCGCCAAAAACCTTCACTCCACCTGGACCCCCCGCTATACCGATTGCCGTGCACGTAAGCATACCAAGTTGCGGGATTTTGATATACATCAAAGCTGAGCTAAGAAGTTCATTAGGTTCCCTATAGATTCCGTGAAACAAGTGTCCCTTATCTCGCATGGTAGCTAGGCCCATGAATGCACCCGCAATACCACCAACAAATATTTCAAGATAGAATTCAGAGAGTTGTCGACGCTGCTGTATCAAAGACCGAACGAAACAGTACCATACTTGTTTATACCAATATGCGCCTCTCTTTTTAATGGTCTTTGCAAGCGCATTTGATTCTTCGGCCGTGTTAGTGGTTGGTAGCGGTTTCGAGGGCTTCGATGTCTGCCATTCCGAAATAAGGTATTGAATTTCATTTTCTCTCGGAAGGGTCCTGTGACGGTGGCCTTGGCCGGATATGATGTCCATTACGATGTCTGCAGGATTAAAAGTAGGCTTGAAACTGAAACCGTGAGATTTGAAATATGTGATCATATCTACTCTCCCACCCTGCCAAAGCGGTCTTCCATCGGATATCAGGAGGATGTTATCTAGACACTCAAAAATCTCCGTTCTCGGTTGGTGAATCACAGACACCACTGTGACGCCAAGCTTACTGATTGCCTGAAGAAGCTTCACGACTTGCAAAGCAGCAGTGGAGTCGAGTCCCGATGTTGGCTCATCACAAAACAACGCCATCGGCGCTGCGGCCAGTTCTATGCCGATATTTACTCGCTTCCTCTGTCCACCAGAAATCACAGGACGAATCGCATCGCCGACGAGAGAGTGTTGTATGTGAGTAAGTGAAAGGCACGAGATGATCCGATCAACGTGATCCTGTATCATTGACTCGGACCAGCTGGATGGGAGGCGCACTCTAGCGCTGTGTAGAATGTTTTGACGAACAGACAATTCTGCAAGAACGACGTCGTCTTGGGGGACATAGCCAATGATGCGCTTATACCTACATATATAATTAATATGGGTATGGATAGTACAGTAGGATACGTCTATAGCTTACACTCTCATATCCTCTCTCACGCCGTTGACGAAAAGAGACCCAGAGGTCTTATCAATCTTCCCCATGAGAACATTCATGAAGGTAGCTGCAAACAAAAATTAGCACCATTCTTCCTTCACAATACGATGAGAAAATTAGCGAATACTTTTACCAGCTCCAGAAGGACCCATAACCCCCCACATCGATCCTCTTTCAATACTCCCACTAACATCCGCCAACAACTGCCGCCCATTCCTAAAGGTCAGTTCCAACTCCTGAAAATCAAACGATAGGCCAAAACGGTTTCCATCGATACATTTTCCAAAGGATTCCACGAGTTTTTTCAACTCCTCGTTCGTTTCTTCCATTAACTCCTCGACGTCGTCAACGACGTGGCTAGTCTCAATATCCGATCCTGGTAGCACCTTATTTGGATTAACTTCACTAATGACATTCTTCCCATCCGTAGTCTCACTCATCGAGAATTCCGGGCCTTTTGTCACCGGTGCTCCTGACTGCATTGACAGCTCACTTCTGTTGTAGGTCTGTTCCATTGCCCTCTTTCTCCCCACATTCCTACCCATTACTTTCTTCCAGGCACCAAACCCAAACAACGTTATAACCAAAATTATATCAATGGCTACCGAAATACCAAACCCCATAACCGGCTTTTTATTTGAACTCCCTTCACGACAAATTGTTCCACTCCCGCATTTCAATGGCTCAAATGATCCCATTGGGCACCAGTGTCCTGCGGGGCACTTGATCTTTTCCTTTCCACCTTTTGGACAGTAGCTGCCTCTCGGACATACGATGGGTTCGTAGAGACCTTGTGGCTCACAGTTTGAGCCTCCCATTCGTATGATCTGGCATTCCGGTGTTGGGGGGCAGTATTCTGGTGGATGTGCTGCGGTGTTATTAGGGCCTAAATTGTTCCCAAATTGTCAATTAGATACAACCCCTTAATGCTAATGATTAAGAATCTAGAAGAAAAAACTCACAGTAGAAACCGAGACTGCAGCTCTCAGATCGGGTGAGTACAACCCCGACTCCTCCAGATAAACAAGTCGAGTTTACTGGTACTTCTGCCATGAGAATGGTGACCGCTGGCTGAAGAATGAACTTTAAGGGTGGGGATCTCTTTCAATTATAAACCCAACAAACCTAATGATAGGGATTGATAACAAGTGACGGTGGCCTAGAGTAGTACTCTTCGCGGATAGCGACAGCGATATGCGATATGGCTGTCACCGCAGCTGCGGTAAATACATCCGCACTGATACCAACATCACCTAAAACAATTTTTCGGCAAGTGCGGTCGGGCTATTTAGCGAATCTTTGGAGGAACGTCGAGGCCAAAGTGCTAATACCTAAGGCATAGAGTACCTACAACTTGTGCAATGTCTGACTTGTTTTTTGAGTTTTTGTTTTTTCAAGCGGGGTCTCGGGGGAAGCGGCGGCTATCTTGCCTCAAAGTGGCATTGTCTTAGTAGGCCATCTCTTGAGAATGACCCTCCCCAGATACTTGGTCGACAATAAAATTTGTTGATGGAGAGAGTCACCTTTAGCCATGATGTCTGTATAGAAAGCAGCAAATCATAGGGATATAACAATGAGATTGTAGCTCTATATACATGTACCGGGTGTTGAGGGTAAGTGATCAGAATCTGATAAGTGAATGTTGCGGTGAATACGTGTATTTGTCTTATCAGATTCTGATCACTTTTCGCTACACCCTAGTGATTATGCTCCCCGTGAAATCCAAATACCAGCTTCGATACCGACAAACTGAAAATCCTAGTAGAATCTTCCAGTACCAGCATACATAACCGGTGTTTCAGTTAGTTGAGAGTCAAACCTTATCTCCAGAGGCCCTAGAGTATATATCTTGTATACAGCGTTACCTTCAAGGCCACGGGTGCGATCGAGTGACCAATCATGATTATAATAAAGGATCGAGGACGACAGAAATACCCCGAAAGAGGTTTCTATGAGCAAAATTTATTGAGTTTCCCAGGTGAGTAGGTGATAGTTATCGTCATTTAGCTAACCCATCACACTTCCAGCTTACTCGAACATTAAGTGGCGCAGCAAGGAAACGATCTAGCTAGGTTAGGGATCTTCGGACACCACTAACTGATACTCCTCGCCAAGTATCTATTACCCCTATTCCTTCTGAGTGATATTTCCGAATGGCCAATTGAGGGCCTACTTAATCGGATCAAAGCAAATGCATTGAATCCCGATCGATCCACCCTCTACTCCATTCAGGGGTTTAAGGCAGTTTCTGGAACATATATTTAGCCTCACACAATAGCAAAGAAAAACACTATATCCAGTGGAAATGGGGGAATATTATAGAGGAGACAAAGACGTCGGAGGAAGCAAAAATACCTGTGGATGATTGGTCATTTAGGCGACTCTGAAATTGCACGGTCTTAGAATGTCAATGCTTCTTTGGTGTCAGACAAAGTAAATACTGCGTGATTTTTGAACTTGATACGGCCGTACGGTCTCAATGAAGTATATATATGAGAGGTCGTTCATAAACCTAAGTATATGTAGTTACCCACTCCCGAGCCCCAAGAGCCCACTTCCCTTAACCGACCAACTAGATACCCCCTTGCTAAGTACCACTAAATCTCGAGTTATTCGGGGGGTTGCCAAGGCCACCTGCTAAACTAGATTTAGTTTAGATCCTGTGAAAGAGGGCTGTTTTCTTGAAGATCGCTTCCTCTAAAGGTGAAGATCCTCAGCTTTTTGCCTTGGCAACCCCCCGAATAACTCGAGATTTAGCGGTATGTGTACTCTACGTCTCTACCGTGGGTCAGTCAACTCGCCAGACTAAGACAAATCCCCACACTCACGCGCGCGCGCAGATCAGACAGATATCTACTCAGATTAAGGTGGTTTGACGCGAACACATGCAGTCTTCATTTGGTAAGAATCCCGGGCAGAGTATTTACTTTTTGGATGATGTCATTCTTCATAGAATATCACTCGAATACACCTTTCCACCTAAACCTACCCCACAAAAACAATACTGCAACCCCGAGCACAAGGACATGTCACAATGCACCGTTGATTCAATTACCACATCCGAAACCGTATGCCATGGAACATCAGCTACGTATATACCCCATATTCCAAAATAAGGAGCCAGCTGGCCAGGGGACTACCTCGAGATCATTCGGTGCAGCACCTTCGCGAGCCCAAACGCCTATGAGCGGGGTAGATTCCTCAAGCATCAATCTGAACCTCTATTTGAGATAATGACAGTGCCACGGCCAAACCTCTCTATCAAATACCGTCGGTCTAGGGTTACCGTACACGCCTCCCCACCTGGAAGGGGTGATAGGCATAGGGAGTTCGACCCAGATCTATTACCATCACTGCTTTCCACTGCTACCGCGTGAGAGGTGAGAAACTGCGATTTAAAATCTTAGATTGATTACTATAAGTACAGGAGTTAACAATGATTTCGATGTAGTGACGGCTTGATAATTGAGAGTTTAACTCCTCCGTAGCTGCAGGGCGTGGGCCGGCCGTTTTGGCTCTCTTTACTGGGATACAGAGACTGAAGAGTTCCAGAGCCATATACAAAACTTACCCACCTATTTCACCCGGTTCACGAACAAGGCTTTCCCACCAAAAAGAATAAAAAGTACTGTATCATCATTGAGATCATTGTTGCTCACCCTAGTTACTACTCTCACTCCTTGGTCGAGCCCAGAACGTTCCGAGACCAGACGGTGTCTGCGAGCAGTGTAATACGCTGACCACACCACTAGCTACGCTTCGAAGTTGATATTTAAGGAGCCGATGATTTACCAAGCGCACGCCATGTCACCTTTCATTACCGTCGACATCGACAACTCCACTGACCCAGCCGATAATTACCTGATCGTGATCATATCCTGTTTGCTCTACTGTCCATTTGATGATACCGAGTTCATAATTGATTTTTCTGCAGAAAAAAGAAAAATGTTTGCCGTTGAAAAGCTAACTGAACGAAGGGAAATCATAAAAAAAGAGCTCATATCCAGGGATATGTGAAACCTATCCCCTCTTCCTATCCTCTTACAAAGAAGACATCCACTCAACTCACCGCCAGATTGCAACCATACTAGAGAGTTCCTAAACGCCCCACCATAACCCGCAAAACAAAACCCAGATAACATCCTACCGCCGTTCCAGCACCCGGCAGTGTCTTAATTCCCGGCTTTCTCACAATCGATAGCCAGAACATTTCATTCTCCCAAGCAAATCCGAGGGCCTAGAGCGGGCAACAAAAGCTATATCTCGGTCTTCTTCTTCTGTGCACCAAACTGCGGTGTATCCTTCAAGACGACGAGAAAGAAAAAAATTCAGCACTCCCCTCGAGAAGGCTCACACAGATCTATCTGCCGCCATCTTCCAGAGCATGCGTACTCACCATGTACCCTATCTCCACAACTCTCTTCCAGGCGAAAAAGGCACTCATACCGCCGCACCAGTGGCCCACGAAACTTTCGCTGCCTCTGAGGTTGGTAACTTTAGTCTGATAGTAGATACTGATTGTCAGCATATATATATCAGAACGGTTGTATTGGTAACAAGCAGGTATATGTATACAGTGTTTTGTCGAGACCGACGGTTTGATGTTTGTATGTATATGAACAGAATGATGTTCAGCACTACAAGGAACCAGAGGAAGTTTGTGAGTGTTATGTGGGGGAGGTAGCGGGGTATGTTGAGTAAGGACGATAGCATGGTGGACATATTCAGGTATGTAGGTGTGTGGTTTTGAGAATTTGACGATTTGAGGAGTTGATATGAGAAAGACTGGGTTCCGCGGCTTTAAATATAAGTGGTGTGTTGCAAGTACGTACTTGAGTTATGTACTACACATTATGCTTACCTGTTCCTTTGCTCATACCGCGCGTTTCAGAGGGGCAGAGACGTTACTGCTAGACCGCGATTAAGACGCCACCCATCGCTCGCTCAGTCTACCGCAGAAGTCAAGACACAACGTTGTCAGTGCTAAGGCTCTGTGGGGAATATCTACCCTAACCAAGTTCATGGCATGACAGCTGTTGTGGCATAGCCTTACGGGCAGATTTGTGGAACTGGGGCTAAGTGTTGCAAGGATATGTGAAGACTTGATCGAGTTCTGTGGTAGATGTTTTATGTTGCCTGGATTCAAGGTTCTGATGCACGTGCGTGGAACAAGAATCCTCCCTCCCAGATGGAGTAGAATTGAGCGAATATGGCTTACATCGCGTACCCTCTCTGCTGGTCATAGAGTGCAGGCGCTTACCTTCGTCTGTTTTGCGGGCGCACGAGTGGGGTAAACGTCGCTAAGTAACTTTTATAATATTTCAAGGTTCACATGCTTTTGATAGATTTTTGTGTGTGTGTGTTTTGTAAGCTGCCGGTGGGTTACTTACTACATTACATACATCGCATGAGATGGCTTAATTGTCACACATGTTACTCAGCAGCGACGAACAACGATGTAGCACTACGAAACGATCTGGCACAGGTGTTGATAATTATAACCGCATCGCCTACTACATCTCCCCAGTCTTCAGAGACATTATATTAATGGACTAGATATATTTATTATACATACTCCGACTCTGGAGTTAGTACATGTATGTGTACATGTAGCTTGTGAACCACTCCTCACGCTATATTTATCCCGCCCTAGCATTCCAACGCTAGGAGCTGCGCCACTTCTGCTCAAAATACACTATCTACAGAAATGACCTCCCCACAGAGACATAGACCAGTCGAAAGCAAGCATTAGTTCAAAGAATGATTTCTATCAAGAGGTGACTAGAAAGATAGCGAAAGAGAGTGAGGACAGGCTCTCTTACATGACCTGTACCTACTTTTGATACAAATAAACAAGCCACAAAGTCGCAGTACATGCAGTCACGACTAAAGTGTAATGTTCCCGTATAGAGTTCTTACATCAAAAAGCTTGTTTCTGTTCAACCCGGCCCCATTTTAAATCCTTGGCACAACCCCCAAATGTGTACTCCCGAACCCTAACCCATACTTAATCCCTACAGCCACTAAAGATGAAAATAATAGGTCCTGTTGCACCCGCATATATAACCGCTAGTTAATATACATAAGTGAGAGAGCCTTCTGAACCATCAAGCAAGTTCTCCGTGCGGGCAAGCCAAATTAACTTTCAAATCAATAGTTGACCGAGTGATAATCCATGACGCAGTCTCGTGCTAGGTGTCCCATCAACGGCCAACCGCGGCTTGCTATACGGGAACGAAAGCCCAGTCAGTTCTCAAGGAACGGTAGAGCTAAGCGCCGAACACATAAGAGTAAGAATGAGGAGTATAATGCTTGATTAAAGACATGTACATGTGGTTACAGTACGATCATGTACTTGTACGTACGCACCTGACATACAAAGGCCTCCAGAGTTAACGGCTCCATATAGATCTCATTAATAACTGCAGCGAATAATGAGACCTCATTTTAACACACATTCAAGTCTCCAAAGTATATGTAAGGAGGGTCCACCAGCGAGTGATATAAGACGTTTAATCATGTTAATTCCAAATTAGAGGTTGAGGAATTAAGAAATAAAATATGAGAAAATGATATACTTGACTTTAAACGACGACATTGATGCAAACAGCTCCAACTTTGACTACTCCTTGCTTTAATACTGAGCCTTAAGTTATACTACGCATCTAACGCCCTAACCCTAAAGAAAGAACCCAAATCACTACCTAACCCTAGACCACTCCGCCGTTGCAGAACAGCTCTCTAAGTACTTGAAGTACCCGCACTACTAGTATCATCCGAACTCGAACTAGCTACGGATCCAGATCCAGATCCTGGGCCTAAGCCGGAACCACCACTAGTGCGTCTAGAACCACCGCTTGGGCTCCCTACACAACACCACCACCTGTCAGCCACGACATTTCTGTATTGACAAACCATATGACCTACCATCAGACGCCGGTGGTTTAGGCACCACCTCGATAGGCAGACGCCTTGTTGGCAAGATGACTTTAGTAAAATAGAGCATTGCCCCAGCAAGCGCAACGACGATGAGAACAGAGAGTATGATCAGCAGCGTGTGGACTGGAAGGAACGTTGAGGGGCGCATTATGGGCGCGTCGCGCTTACGATAGGTGCGGTACATATTTAAGGTAGCGGCTTTGCAGCTTTGCGGCTTTGCGGCTTTGCGGTTTTGCGGGTGGTTACTTGGGAGTATAATGGTTTTGATATTGTCGTGAATGATGCAGTTATCGATGAGCAAGTTTAGGGACAGAGAAAGTTGGAGTTACTTTTTACGGGTTGAGCTATTGTATTGTTGTTAGGGAGAAGGGTCTTACCTTATTTTTCACGGTGCTGTAGTGCTGTGAAGATGAATTCATGAAGATGCCATAGTATTCTGGAGTGAGTACAGGGATAGACTTGAGTTTTAGCCAATCAAATCCAAAGCCTTTTCAAAATATCATATGAGAGAACATTGAACAGCCATTATAAATATGATTATTACTGTATTGGGGGCCTTAACCTCCATGAGTCCCGTCCCTAAAGTTAGTCTATATAAAGATCACATGTAACTAGGACATGTACTGGTATATAGAATGGACAGTCTTCTCAAATATCTAGTATCATTCTCAATACAAGAAGATATCTCACGTTTCAGGCGGTCTTCCTAGCACTTGAAACAAATTTCAGGGTCCGTATAGGGCACAATAGCTATAGCCCTTATGAAGTATACTTATTGCCAAGGTTGATCTCTCTACGCACTACAATTTCCCATTACATTAACTCGATCACATTGTGCGAGTAAACATCGACCCGGTAAACTGAATTATTCACTCTCTTAACAGGCGGGTCATGAATTATCACTCGGATTTGATGCTGTGAGGGACCACCACCATCCGGACTAGCTAGTATCCCACATTTCTAGTGATTTATTTACTTATAATTGGCTTAAAACGTCTAACACACCAAAACATACCTTTGTTAGTCAAACCCAACAACACTGCACATACCCGACCATGATAATATGGTAGGGCAGATATCGATAAGGGCAATAACACCGCGTTGATATAGGGCACGGCGTCCTAGGCATGCAAGGGCTGGTTAGAGTGTTAGAGACTATATCTAGACGACATCGCGTCACGACGCCAGCCCATCCGTTAGCGAGAGTAGAGTAAATAGCAATTCTGTATAGGTACATCTAGGCTAGGTACTCCTATGTACCACGGTACCTTATTTAATCCAGACGGAAGTTGACCGGAGTTTCAGACAGAATTAAAGCAAGGCCCTCGACACCTTGCCATTGGGCTTTAAAAGCCATGTCCATGCACTGACTCGCTTGGAATTTAAGGTTGCTTGCTTTCTCTCTCTCTCTCAACCCCTTCTGATTCGACGCGATGGACTACATTCCTATATGTTTGGTTTATATAGAATAGCGTGACTACCTATGTCAAAGTTGTGTTACCAACAGACACCGGCGCGCCTAGATCAGGTGCTGGGCTCTAGATAGGCCTCACCCCTCCATGAGAAGCTGTTCGAGGCTTTATGATCGCCTATCTAGAAAGAACAACATATATACTACTGGAAAATTCCGGATTCTATGGTGACTCCGGACTCCGGAGCTTTGTGCATACTGGGGACCGTGATTGGGTTCGAGACAACTATGTATCCAGAAAGAAAGAAAAAACGAGCGCCCACCGGAAGGAACACCAAGGCCGCTCTTAGCAACACAGTTTTACATACGTGCTCCCGGCTCCGTTCCGACAGCATTAATATCAGATATATCGTGGTCCGATAAGTAGGCTTTCAAGATAAACAGATGGCTGAATACCAGGGTTAGGTTTATCACCAAACATCCAACAAACAGTATCATGCGGCCTCCGACATATCACATTTGACAGGTTGTTCTAGACTTTCATCAGCTGCGGATATCGTCACCAACGTGACTGACCGTTTAAAAAGTCCAGATTCACCTAGAATCGAAATACTCAAAAACCAAAGGGTGGATAATTCTTAAAAGCCCACTAGATACAATCGCTAATCAATAACATCGTTACTTGGCATTTTGGTATGCCGGCGTTCCGGTGTGAGGAAATTAGATTGATAGGTACCCAAGTCATGGACCCCAACCAAAAGAAAAGAAGTGTCTGCACAGAACACAACCACGACGAAGTGGTGGTCGCCGAAAAGGAGCTTAAGGAGGCATACAGCCGAAAGAACTCCGACCCGAGCCAAAAGATCGATTATCGAGGAGTTGGCCGCGTTGTGCAGCGTCGGATAAACAAATTGGTGTGTGGGGTCCTCTGTAGGTAGGTACACAGTAGCCATCATAATATGCAAGGTCCCGGCCGTAGCTTCTTGTGTGATCTCGGTAGGTATTTGAGATTGATTAATTTTTTTTAACCGGGAATCGACAACCTTACATCAAAATGAAGTTTCATCAGAATTGGACACATATTATTCGAAACTTCACTGGGCTTTCAAATATATCAGTCAGTACTTTACTCGAGGCACGTCACGAAGTTTGAGCAAGGAAGAGGGAGAGAGGAGTTACATACATACATGTACTTTACATTATGTGCTTAGGGACGTCCAAAATACCGCAAGAGATGAAGGCACGCTGATCAAGCGGGAGTCTAAATCATTGACTGGCGAACGAGGCGACGATTTTGGAACAATAAACAATGGGATCCAGTAAAGTGTTCGGGTCTCAACACAGGTTATAGTTATCGCGCGGTCCTGACTGGGTGTGCCCCAGTTTTTGAGGCTGAAACAGAAACTCTAAAAACGTTTATGAGCCGTGTTCCATTGAAGCGAAAGTAGGCCGATTTACCGTAAATCAACTAAAGTACAGATGCGCATACACCGTGCCTGGGTATTAACTACGTGCTGTATGTAGTTATTGGTGATGCGCGCCGCTGCGGGAACTGCGCACAATGGAAAGCACAATGGAAGTAAAAATAAAAGACTTCTTCGTCTGGTCAAATAAACACATCTTCAAACTCTGGCCCGCCACCCAGGCCAGCACCCTCAGATTTGCGGAAGGGATCTAGCGAATCGCCCCCCTGGCCCAGCCAGGAGAAACTTGACCAGTCGTTCGTCCCTGCATGTTTACTCTACATACAGTGCCAAGTGGTTTGGCGTCATGGTGAGCATTTGGGTTCGCCTATCCATGTCACCAACGTGCTCGAGGAGTACATGTATGCATGTTGGTTGGTCCACGGGTGCTTTGGCGCCTGGCTGGGGTGGTTGATAGAGCATGGAGGGCTTTTGGGCTTTTTGGAGGGGGAGGTGTTGGTTCGTGGACGAGCTGCTGCCGCAGCAACGAGGCATTAATGGAGATAAAGCAAAGGAGCTAACTGTGAGTGATAGAAAGTCTGATGTTATTTGTATATCATAAGAACAAAGAAACAAACAAACAAGAATCGCGAATCCTAAGGGGGTTAAAGCCCGGCGCTTTTGGTTCGACAGAGTTAGTCCAGTCCAGGTCCAAGGCAAGTCGCTGGGAAAGGGAGGTTGATTTGTCTTACCGAGTAGGAACCGTATCCTGGGACAGATCAGGGCTGCGAAGCCCAGGGAAATTTGAAATTTGCCTCTTGTCCTTTACTCTAGCCTCTTAATGGCTTACTGGCCTACCGACAGGGCGAGGTCGGGGTGAGGCAAAAGCAATTGCAGAACATCCTCCACACATTAACAGTAACCCCCCCCCCCCCCAAGTGACACCACCCCGTCACGAAATATCGCCCTCTACACTCTTGAGACTACTGGTTGATCGGAGTTGTTGTTGTTGCATCTTCTTGCGTTAATCTTCTACTACTCTTGCTGCTGGCCGTGCAGCTGGACCTGTCAAGCCTCTCTCACTAGCAATACTTGCTGGAGCACTTTCAGCTCCTTTAAACCAACCATCAGCCAGTTTCTGCCCCCATCCCGCCCTCCATCTGTATCATACTTCATACATCCTCACTGAACATCGCCATCAATGAAATGAAAATTCGAGTTCGTTTCTCCCCACCATATTATCTATCTTGAAATCTATACTGTCGGCTTCGATATACCCCGACTATATAGGCATCATTAACCAGTTACCTACCTGCATCCTGCATCTCGGACACCATAGATTGGAAAACAAGCCCAGACGGTTACCTGCACTATAGGCTTCTGGAACAAAGTACTTCTTCTGCTGAAGTAACGGATAGGGGCATTGAAGTTCGGAATAACTTTCTAGAGAAATAGTCTGTGGGGGTAAATTAAAGGTTTGTGCTCTCGTTACTGAATACATCTCTCTCTCTCTCTCGCACTCTTCCCCTCCCTCCATAATGGAAGTGTAGTTTCGGCTAACATTTATTTCTAGAACTCCAACAATAATCTTTAATCCCGTGCGTAGTTCCTACCGATAATATTGGCATCAACAAAAACATAAGCTCGACACAGAGTTCATCGGACAGAGCCTGTGATTAATAATTATATTGAGCCCCCTATAACCTTAAGGAGGGAAGAAATGGCAACCTCATACTTGAGAAAAGATGCGAGAAACGAAAGAGCCCTAGTTTCATTTAGAATGTTTGTTTCTCATCTCTTTATTTTATTCGATGAATTTATGATCCTTTCCATCCTATCTCTTGTTTTTTGATCTTCCTCTCCCCAACTCTCAGTCTTAATACTTTGAGTACCTACAACCCCACCATTATTTTCGCACTTCTAACAATAAGCAGAGTCCTCCCTGCAACGACAACACCACAATCTGTGCATTTGCTAGGATCATGGGATAACTTCCACACACCTATCGCCATGGAACAGGATATTCGCGTTGGTAGAGGAGTTTGGAAATACATGATTACCGACAAGGGTGGACTTGAGATGGGTTCTGAATTTACATACTATGTTAGCCTCTCCTCGGAAAGAATCTTTTTGGACGGCTCAATTAATTATTTGATAGTTTCTGCTGGATCAAAAGCGTTACATTTCAGACCCCGGCTCACCACCGGAATATACAACCGTTGATAAAAAAACAGGCCGGATTGTGTCTATCCTTCACGTACCGACTGAACTTCCACCATCGACCGCGAAACCATCCCCACCTCCGCCCTCACATGTTTATATACCTGCAACTACGAGTGTGTCTCCGGCATCCCCACTAGATGAGAGAGAGAAAACAATATCGCCAGTTGGTATTATCGGGGCCTCAATTTTTGCAGGCAGTGGAAGTAGAGGGAAGGATTTCGAGGAGCCTAGGAGAGTGCCAGAACACCCAACACATTCTCGTAACGGCTCGGGGAGCTTGAGGGATAGGATTAAGGAAAGAAGTGTTCGCCGTGTCTCTTCAATGTTCTTTGGCGGTGAAACCGATGGGCCCGCAATTGAGGAAAATCCTTCAAAGAGAAGATGGTCTCTAGTGAAAAAAACGTCAGGTTTTTTTCGTAGGAATAGGGTCGTGTCGGATGCTGGATATAAAATAACTCAAACAACTGACAAGACGGGAGAAGATGTCACACTCAACAAAATGGCACCTGCCCCTTTAGAATCTAACCACAGTGTTACAGATATTGTGGGATATTTAAGAGAAGATACATCAATTGAAGCAGCTCGGGATACACTATCACACCTCACACAACCCCCACGGGCTTACTACCATTCTCCTGTAGCAACGAACACATACGTTTCTACTATGCCTGATATACGTCCACAAATACCAAGAAGCATTTCAGACTCTAGCAAGAAAACAAACGAATCAACAATTACGTCGCCCTCAATAATAGAATCCATGTCGTCTAACTGCTCATGCAACGAAGGATCAGTTTATTCCTGCGCATGCTCTCCCATGGTTCAGTCTGCGTTTTCACCTGAGAGCTGCTCTAGTGATGACGGCGAAGAAGAAGAAGAAGAAGATGCATACGAAGTCGAGACACCTGTGGATGGCCTTGGTATCACCACTCCTTATCCTTATCAGCAGAACGAACGTGTATACCCACAATATTACAACTTCGATGAAATTTCCGGTCATGTGCCGGGTGGAAACAGAGATATCGGGACATATGCCGGCGATGTTATCCTTAATGAAGCCTCATATTCGGGGATGTCTGCCCCGAAGCCACTTGCTTGCCTACGAGAGGAGGTTGCTGGTGAATTAGCATGGAGAGACGAATTGGTTGATGAGTTGGGCTACTTGGGCGGTGTCGTGATTTAGAGGCGGGAAGGACTACCAGCCACTGTTTTCTATTTTTTTTATGATGCATCTTTTTGATGAACTTACGGACATATATATATGGCTCTTCTGAATTTTTCCCTTTATTCCTTTCCTCTCTTTCTGCTGGGACGTACTGAGATTTAGTGGCGCATATTTCCTTTTTTGTACGCTACTTCTGGCGATGTAAAAATTATGGTGTTTTTCTTTGGCTTTTTCTTTGCTATTATTGCTAGTTTACCTCGCCATACTCAGTCATTTCTTGCTTCCAAAATCATGTTTGCACAGCTTGGCTAGCTATTGTTTTGGGGGGGGCAAAGCAACATCTCACGAAAAGCATTTCTTCTAGGGGGTCATTAGAGGAGTTATATTATTCTTACGCTCTTTTCATCGTCTCTTTAGTTACCTCATTATATGGACATAGCAATATTTCCCAGGTGGGGTCGTTCCGGAATGGACTTGCTCTACGAGCATATACAATTCAGTGGTGGCTATGGGAAGAGCGTGTGTTCGGAGACAATCTTTTTTTTTTTTTTGGCGGGGTTGGAGTTTTTATATGGGGGGTTCGTCGTGAGATGATTTCCGATTAATAACGTCGATGGGATGGAAGCACAGGTCTAGTGCACAGGTGACAAGTTAACGGCGCGGCGATACGTGACCGGCATGAGCTCGATTCTACTGATCAACACATATTTGGAATCCTCGAGGAAGAAAGGGGGGGGGGGGGCAGGAGGAAACCGTTGTAATCGATGTGGACGAGGGGAGACTTAGGAAGCTATAGTGACAGCTGATGAGCTTCTGCAGACATTCGATTCTGCACGCCTGAATTGGGCCAGATAGCAACATTACACAGGCCTGAGATGAGGGAGATGAAACCAATGGGGAATGGATAACCTTAATCGTGACAGCTGAGAGACAACCTTATTTAAGCCACCAAATCGAAGCCGGCTGAGTTTCGCCCTCACATGCAGCTAGCTAGCTAGCTACGTAGGACATACATGAGAATGCGGCTCTGATGACTAACGTAGTAATGTAGTGGGGGGTGAGCTTTGTTTGGTGGTCTTTAAATTCCGACGAGGTGTGCTCAGAGCCCCTCCTAACTCACTCTCCTCGCCCCCAATCAATGAACACCCATCCACCATCCATAACACACATATTCTCTATCACCCAACCACCCACGTGCAGGAAGGAGATGGAATATCTAGGCTGTCGTTTCCAAGAGATTTATCGAAGAAGCCCGATGTCGGCGATCGAGAGGAAATGTTCTGCACTCCAGCTAGGCCAGCCTTTTGGGTAATGGGATACTCTCACAGGCTCATCCAACAATGGCCTATCGTGTTAAATTTGGACGGACCATACACTCACTTCTCACTCGACTGGTTCGCCCAGCAGGCCTAGCCGCCAACCACCAAGATTCTTAACCAGCCATTACTTTTGAGCTGTCGCCTAAAAGACCGTTACTTACCAGCGGTAACATGCAGTAAATTAATGATCTCCGTACGTACCAGTCAGACGGTGTGATTGGGATATCACATTCTCAGGCCGCACGGTGTTCCGGGTGATACTTCATGACGCGAAACCCAATAACGATACAAGGTGAGAGTTTCGAGATATATATATATATGTCTTTGGAGTTAATATCCTACACGGGCGAATACTCACTTTATTCGAAGAAGAGGCTGCCGTTCGGCGCAAAAGCTTCTCTGGATAGGTAAGCTCTTTTCTCCGCGGAGGAAAGAGTCTGGCCTATGAAGAGAGTGCGAATTGTCTCTGCTCTCCAGCGGTGTCTTGTTTTACTCTCTTGTAATATAGCGATCGGTAGCTACGTACTCTAGATAGAAACCATAAAATATGCACATTAATCGCGATCGTATAGCGGAAGGAAAATTATCACTCGTCACATATGGCGTGACAGCGATGGAAGGGGACGCTTAGGGGCAGTTAACAATAAGGCCAACGACGTTTCATCCTCAGAGCCATTCGCTCTTTACCAAGAAACCACCTTTGAAGCTCCTTGACTCGCTGGGCTGGTCATATATGTATGTAGTGTTTCATCCGATATGTGGATTAGCAGCAGTAGATGCGATGCAAAGAATAAAGCGGATTGAAGCATGGCATGAAGAAGAAAGGACCTGCATGAGCAATCAGCCCCTGCCGCATCCGGCACCTGAAGGTTTCAGCACTTTCTCTACACTTTCGAATAAACCTGTTTTTGAAGGGCGATGCCTAAAAAAAGACCTCACAAACACCTTTACGACTATGTTACCGGCCGAGACCCCATCCGACCCACCCAACCATCACAACCCATCACTCGGGGGAGCCGGCTCTAGCCACATTATACGCGGGCACCCGCACGCACCACTACGGGCCGCCGCACCCGCACCCGCACCCGCACAAACCCAACATCACCCCACCACCGACCCGCACAAACACCCGAACCACACCCACACCAAAACAGGAAACCACCGCGCCGATCGCCGCCACCCGCCGCGTGTAATGTCGGAGCGCGCTACCGTGATCTGACGACCGCGGGGGACGCCCCTATCGAGGCCGCGCGTGTAACGACAGTCGCATTCCCCGCGCCGTCTAGCTACACCGTTAACTGGGGAGAACCTCCCAGCCAGCCGGTAGTTGGTGAACGGTGTGGTAAAGGGATAATTAAGGGGGAGCTCAAGGGGTTGTTGCATTGCATCGATATCTCTGCCCCTGATGCTCTCTTATCGAGCCCTTGGTATTTACACATGATAACCACCCCACTGACCACTGACCACTGACCACTGACCACTGACCTCCCCCCTTACCCTTACCCCGGATCTACATCGACACATCGACACACGTACGGCGCTCGTGAGCCATGAGGTCAAGGAGTACATACTGTAGGCACAGAAACCGTGCAATGAACTGCTCTCGAGCTCGAGCTACAAGTGACTCGCGCGCGCGCGCGGGCGGTGATGTGATGTCGACTTAATTGCTCCTATCGATATCGCCCACCCACCAACCCCGCTCGAGCCCGAGCTCCCGTGGTTTGGTATGGTATGGTATGGTATGGTGTGGGGGTGTTCAGATAGCCTCATCCATCGCTCCCACGAAGCAGACGCAAAAACAGAAGAGTAGGAGTAGCTAGCTAGGAATGCTAGGAGAATTGCGAGGAGGCCCGTGAGCCAGGAACATATCATATCACCCCACTCCTCTACCCCCCCCCCCCAGTGGCCTGACCGCATCAATACATACAGTATCCGGTAGAATTATTGCGAAAGTCAGAACTAAAAGGGTGGGTTTCTTGGCCCGTGCTCACTGCAAAAATTCCTTTGAGGGCCAATGGGACTATCGGGTCACGGAAAACCCACTTTCGCATTAATTCTACCAGAATCTGTACAATCCTTATCAGGGCACCACCTACACACATACACGTCCGATATCTCCATAAGTACCGTTAATTCTCGAGAAACCCACTATCCCCGCTTCGCTAAGTCTTAATTCCGGGTGATAAAAAGTACATACATATATGCATCTGCACGAATCCGTGAAGTTCGATACGCCAATTCGCCTTGGTTCGGACCTACCACATACAAATATGGGGATAATGGATTATTCGAGAATTAACGGTATCTACATTTGCGGAAATTTTTCCACATCTCCCCTCCCCCCCCTTTTTCGACACGGGAACGAGTGCTAGTCTGTGACGCGATATATATAACTTTTGTTATTTCTTCATACATAGCTATAGCTAGAATTACAGACCTGCTGTAACTAATTGATTGACCGTTGGTTTTGGTCCGCACAGACATCATACTTCAGATCAGACAACATGCACACGCTTCCACGATATCATCCCCCCCAAAGCAACCTGAGAAGATCCCAAACACACTCTTCACCGAATGTGCGGATTGTACATAGACATGGCGGAAACAGGAAAGGAAAAAAACGATAAAACCCCCACTGTGCAGCGTGAGCTCAGTTATACAACATATATATATATATATATATATATGGCGTCAACATCGAGTACAGCTCCCCGCTCCTCCCCCACTCCCCACTCTGGCTACAAGTAACGTCCGTACTGTTGATCATGATCTACGTATTAACAGCCCGAGCTGCACTCGGACTCGGCGAGAAGATAGAATAATAACAAAAAAAAAGAAAAAAAAAGAAAAAAACGGAAAAAAAGGTCCCCCCTAAAAACTCAATATGAAAGAAAAAGCAATTGAAAATCACAAAAAAACTGTTATAATCCAATTACACCGAAACGTATTTGTTCCGTCCCAATAAACCCCCTCTCCACTCCCACCCCTCCCACCCCCACCGGATTCACCCCGGCCACGAACCTTTCCAGGAACCACTAGAGGTCCTTTTTTTTCACCCACGTTACTGGACCTGGACATTCCGCTTTCCCTTCCTTTCCTGCAACATTATGCTTATTCGTACGTACCCGATGTCCCATTTCCGTGCCCCGTGCCCGTCCAACATTCAAAGAAAGAAAAAGAGGAAGAAAAAAAAAAAAAAGAATAGAAATCAAAAATCAAAACCCCAACCAAACCCAAAGCCCAGTGTTTCACACATTCAGCAAACAATACAAGACAACGAACAAGGAAACGACAACGGCAAGAAGAGAGCCATAGGAGGGGGAAAGGGGGAAAAAAGAATAAATGATAAAGGTTAGAAGTTAGAATTGTAAAGTATAGATAAATGAGGCCACAGCGCAAAAAGAAGATAGAAACGGATAAGAAAGAAAAAAAAAACCAAGAGCAATACTCTTCACAATATAAAAGAGACACAAAGAAGTCAGAATACATTACCACGCCTCGCCATCATTCCACCGATCTCTTCGCTCTCGCTCCATCTGTGCCTCCACTTCTCGCTCCTCTCGATCCTCCTCATATAGTACATTGGCGCCCTCGTCCTCAAGGATTTGTCGCCTGGATTCCTCAGCTTGCATTCCCGGCTTTCCGTTGGGTATTCTTGGCTTCAGTCCACCGTTCGTGTAGCCGTTCGTACTTCCGTTG